AAGTGCAAAAAATGTGTATATTGTGATCATATTATGTGCTTGTCATGTGCTTGTCATGTGCTTGTGATGTGCTTGTCATGTGCTTGTGATGTGCTTGTCATGTGCTTGTCATGTGCTTGTCATGTGCTTGTGATGTGCTTGTCATGTGCTTGTCATGTGCTTGTCATGTGTCATGTGCTTGTCATGTGCTTGTCATGTGCTTGTCATGTGCTTGTCATGTGCTTGTCATGTGCTTGTGTGCTTGTCATGAGCTTGCCATGTGCTTGTCATGTGCTTGTCATGTGCTTGTGCTTGTCATGTGCTTGTCATGTGCTTGCCATGTGCTTGTCATGTGCTTGTCATGTGCTTGTCATGTGCTTGTCATGTGCTTGTCATGTGCTTGTCATGTGCTTGTCATGTGCTTGTCATGAGCTTTCCATGTGCGTCATGTGCTTGTCATGTGCTTGTCATGTGCTTGTCCATGCTTGTCATGTGCTTGTCATGTGCTTGTCATGTGCTTGTCATGTGCTTGTCATGTGCTTGTCATGAGCTTGCCATGTGCTTGTCATGTGCTTGTCATGTGCTTGTCATGTGCTTGTCATGTGCTTGTGATGTGCTTGTCATGTGCTTGTCATGTGCTTGTCATGTGCTTGTGATGTGCTTGTCATGTGCTTGTCATGTGCTTGTCATGTGCTTGTCATGTGCTTGTGATGTGCTTGTCATGTGCTTGTCACGTGCTTGTCATGAGCTTGCCATGTGCTTGTCATGTGCCTGTCATGTGCCTGTCACGTGCTTGTCATGTGCTTGCCATGTGCTTGTCATGTGCTTGTCATGAGCTTGCCATGTGCTTGCCATGTGCTTGTCATGTGCTTGTCATGAGCTTGCCATGTGCTTGTCATGTGCTTGTCATGTGCTTGTCATGTGCCATCATATGTTCATGAGCTGTGCTTTCATTTTAGTGCTTGAGGTGCCGCAGGCGTGGTCCGCCTGGTGGAGCACAAGTCCACCGGCACTCGCTACGCGCTGCTCGCATGCAACGTGATCCTATCGAATTAATGAGATCCAACAGGTATATAAACATATTCAGCAGGATGGCAGTGGCAGACAGAGTGAGATGCATTTATAATCAAAAAGCGCATTATGCACATTACGCATGCATTGCAGAATGCATGCGTTCGGTTGCGTCGAGAAAGGGGCCACCAAGGCTCAAACGCGTGAAGAAGGTGGACGGCGAGGTGCCTGAGGAGGTGCAGCGGGAATGTTCTCTCCTGACGCATGGCTTTGAAAAATGTTCGCTCCCAGTCTGCATGCTGCGCATTTTGTCATTTCACAGACAGAGCGAGCCAAGGAAAGACATAGACCACCCCTTCATCATGACGCAGGTGAATACCTTTGAAACCAAAACGAGCGCCCGTGGCTTACGCTGGACCCGTAACCTCCAATGGTCACAGACTCAGCTGGAGTGAGGTGTACATTCTGACTGAGCTGATCACAGGGGGCGAGCTTCATGGCAGCTCGGCTTGGACAGCGATTTGTGATGGCGGGCCGTGCACAAAATGCAAGATACAGAAGGTGACCGTGTGTCTATCACTAGCCCACAAAATCAAAGAACATGCACGGACATGCTCACCTGAAATGGGGTATGATGAAGCCAGGCAAGTCTGAACATGCCAGTTTTGGCAGTACCTGCAGGTATTAGCGTATTAGCAAATCGGGCAGCTTCACGTGAGGCGCTATCCGGGAGATCCCCACTGTTCTTTCCAGGGCTCAGGTGCGGACAGTGGCGAGCGCAAGAGAGACAAGCGAGACACGAGCTGCGTGCGCTCAGCTGCTCAGCTGGAGGCTCAATTTTACACAGGCTCCTTGGTGATCGTTCTCGAGGATGGGGTACAATGGCACGAAAGGGACACTTTGTCACGGCATTCTAGCAGCTCAGCGCCTGACCCTTCAGGAGCTGTCAGAGCGAAACATCTTGTGGTTGACTCGGCAGCTGCTTCTTTTGCTTTCAGCATATGGGCCGTTTCTGAGGTACAGGGATTTGAAGCCAGAGAATGCGCCTTGGCCGCCACATCACAGACACGCGGGCGTTGCCAGCTACGCCAGCTGCAGGTTATGCTGGACGCACAGGGCTACCTGAAGCTCATTGACTTTGGCATTGCCAAGAAGCTGCCCGAGGGGGAGAGCAAGACCTTCACCATGAGCCCCGGAATGGCATGGAAATTGGATTTTCATTGCAACGCATGAAATGTTGAACTCGTTTTCAGTTGTTCGCCGAAATCTGAGGATAGGGACGCCCCATTACATGGCGCCAGAGGTCATGCGGGGCCATGGCTATGGCACTGAGGCGCCAAGCACTTGCCAGCCCATCACCCAGCATTTCCCACCCAAGGATATGCTAATCTTGAATTTGAAGCTTTGGGAACATCAGCCTCGCAACCACCCATGCTCAAAAATGCATCCGGTGACCCGCCGCTCAAGAAGTAGAGTCTGCGTACATCAAATAGTAAGATCATACACCAGAATGGAAGTTCAATGGCACCCATCCCGCTGGACACGAGTGTGTAAGTGTTGCTTGGTTCTGATTGAAATGGGGGCTTTGTGAAAAGCTGTACGCGTGTCATTGTGCTGCTCAAAGTCAAAGGGTCAAAGGTGATGTTTGCCTTAGTTGTGATTGCGCTGCAGGGCCTTCCTGACGACACGCGCTTGTACGCTCTAGAGCGCTTAATGTGCACCCTAGGGTCATCTCAGCCGTTGCTTACGGAACAACAAGCTGGCCGGCATAAAAAGAAGCTTGCGCAGCATTGAAGACAACCACGCACACCCGCTTCACTGCGCACGTTCATTGCACACGGCACACGCGCCACATGATGAACACGCCCGCTTCCTTGCACACGTTCACTGCACGCAAACACACATGCGCGCCTGGCGCAACCCTTGCTGAGAAGCACTAGCAGCATGTTCAACCCAGCGCACGCATGCTGCATGAATCCAACCGAATCCAACCAACCATACATCATTCGAATGAATCAGAAATGGCAGAACAAATGGAGTTCGCTTTCTCGCGCCGGGAAATTGGGGAGGCAGAAGACGAATCATGTAGTTTCCTGCAGTCAAAACGCACTTGGTGGCTCAATAACGCGGCCGGTGTCCGCGAAAAGTTGGAAATTCGATGCTTGTCTCAGACTCGCAGTGCGCGCAGCACTTTTTCTGTAAAGAACCATGGCCTTCACGCCGGTCCGCGGAATGCCATTGTTCTACCCGTCCGTTACCACTGCGGCTAACACTGAACTTGATGTATCCCTTAAGGAACATGACCAGTGTAAGCAAAGCGCGAGGGAGTCGGGGCTTCCGCGCAAAGGGCTTGCAAGCTGCAGACAGTCGCCATCAGTCGCCCGTGTTTTTTGCAGGTTGACCTCTGGTCCATGGGAGTGATGCTTTTCGAATTCGTTTGCGGCGCCTTGGTCAGAATACATTGCCTTGTTGGCTCCCCAGCACTCTGGACTTCCGCAGCCCGAGGCTACTTGCCATTTGCGGACGACTTGGATGACCCCACAGAGGTTTGCACTGCCGTGCTGAAGGAGGGATGTCCGTGCATGTCGGGATCTGCACGGCAGCACGCAGATACAACTGTGAAGGACCCTCTGCAGTTCCCTTCCAACTACAAGGATGCGCCTGGCACAAACTCGACCAAAATTGCCTTGACTTAGGGCGTGCCGCCTTGAGCGAAAGGTTTCAGAAACTGTTGGCTTGCCTTGCCCAGGCCAACGGCAAGGCCTTGATGAAGGGCCTGCTGACCCGACAGCCTCGTAAACGCCTGGGCTCTGGCCTTGGCGGCTGGGAGGCGCATGCGATGGGGCTTCGTGGCAAATGTCCGAGTCGAAGCCATTCGTCATTTGCAAGTCGGACATGGGGACGCCATGGGCCTCTCGCGAGGACGTGCGAGGCGCAGAATACTTTCTCCAGGGTCACCAAGGAGGCTCCCTCTTCGACAAGTGGCTCGGAGAAATCCACAGTGCCAGTGCCATCGAGTGCAACTCTCGTTGCAACTCTCGCTGCAACTCTTGCAACTCACGTCGCCTGGCCTTCCGAGGCTTCTGGGTCGAGAACTTCAGCCGCCATGGGTGCCCAAGGCATCGGGATCCGATCTGCCGATCTGCCGATCACTCGGCCTGTCTCGGCCTGTCTCGGCCTTGCAGCGAGTGCCAAGTGGCCAGGGGGAGACCTACTGCGACCCGGAGGAGCTCGATGTCTCACTCAGCCGGGCCCTCAGTCACGGCATGTTCTGCGAGACTTTGAGTGATCCAAAACGCAAAGATTCGAAGATATCTACACGGTGCGAGCCGCAAATGGTGACGGATCAGGTGACAACGATGAGCTCGGCAAAAAGTGATGCCAAGTTGTATGGCCTTTGCCTGCCTTTTCCCGCGCCCAAAGGCCGAGCGTCCTCTGTAGTAAGCAGAGGAAACGTCCAGCTGAAAAATCGGAGGGACAGCCTTGGACATCAGAGGCGACCAAAACCTGGTCCGATGTTCGGGTCTTGAGACTGAAGCGAAATGCCTTCACATTCACCCGCGAACACCTTCGTTGCCTGAATTCGTTGCATGGAGGCACTGGCCATGCCTCAAGTATCTTGAGGTCTGTCGAGCCTCCTTAGGTCCTTCGATTGGGCGCCAAGCCCAATCGCCGCTCCAGGGCCTTTTGTTTTGTCTTTTTTGCGAGTTCACGGAGTGTGAGGAACGACGGTACGACGTTTTGAAGTGGAATGTTTGCAGGAAGAATGGAGTGGTGTCATCAGACAGGAGCGGACGAAGCCGAAGAATCAAAGGAGTGTCTTGGGATGGGTGCGGAAATGGCCCAAGAGCCAGGGCAATGGTAGCTGGCACGCTGAGCAAGTTTGATGGAAGCTACAGGCCACATCAAGGCTAACCATGCAGCCTAACCATGCAGCCTAACCATACCTAACCGGGAAAACTGAGAGACTGAGAGACTGATTGAGTCATAGTCCATGTGCAAATTGGCAGGCGAGGCGCTCCAACTCTGCGGACCACCAGCCACTGTTCTGCGCTCGCCTCACCGGGGACGGGGAACAGCATGCGCCTCGCCCGGCGGACGGCCGACGGAGCCCGGAAGGTGCTCACTGCGGCAAGCCGTGCGGCGCCCTGCACGTGAACCTGGCCCTGGCTGCCGGCACAACCAGCGAGGGGCCCAGAGCACGAGACACAAAGATATACCAAGCCATACCAAGCCATACAAAGCCATACAAAGCCCACAATCCGAAGGGCTTTGGAAGCCATGGGAAGTCGTGGGAATCCCCGGGAAGCCATCAGGCCGGACGGAGCTGCTGAGCATTGTGCGCAACACGGACGGTGAGGAGGCCTTGGCCAGATGGCTGGACTTCGCCACCAAGTCGAAGGAGCTGCCCGGCGGGGCGCAAAGCGGCGCACAGCGCGGAATGCGCGGAATGCGGAAAGTGTGCATCGGGTCAGCCGGTCAGCCTGGAGACATGGCGGTGTTACAGAGCCTCTATCAATCCCACTTTCCCCCCTTGAGTTCCAAAGCTTTATGCCCCGAAGGCTGGGGTGTGGCCATCAGGTGCTGAAGCAGCATCGGGGACGCTTGGCCGCAATTCCGACCGCACATGTTTCCAGCACAGTCTTGGGCAAGGAACAGTGGGTTTTGCACAACGTCTCGTTTTTTGTTTGTTTGTTTTTGTTTGGTGTATGTTTTTTCGTGTTGTTGTTTTTGGTTGTTGTTGTTGTTGTTGTTGTTGTTGTTGTTGTTGTTGTTGTTGTTGTTGTTGTTGTTGTTGTTGTTGTTGTTGTTGTTGTTGTTGTTGTTGTTGTTGTTGTTGTTGTTGTTGTTGTTGTTGTTGTTGTTGTTGTTGTTGTTGTTGTTGTTGTTGTTGTTGTTGTTGTTGTTGTTGCTGTTTTTTGCACCGCCTTGAAACGATGCAAAGGATAGTCATTGTGCACAGGGGATATACTAGAAGCTTCCCGATGTAAGCGGCTGAGGCTCTGCATACAAGCGCCTTTCTGAAGAGAACACGTGACTGGAATCACACCTGTGAAGCTTTAATTCTGAATATAAAACGTACCGCAACTTCCCTCGGGAATGTTAAGCTTCGGGCCACAACTGCAACACAAGTGCTTTTGGGGCGTTTTCGAAAAAAGTCTTGTGCATAGCTTCCGAATCAGGCCCGAATACGCCCGCTGAATGCTTCCGAATAGAACCGTTTCCGGTTGCAAAGCCGCCCGCTGCCTGCCCCAAGCTAAGCAGCCTATCTTGAGGTTGCACGTCATCGACGAGGAACGATATGAGGCGAGATGAGCCAAGCACCGTCGCAAGCCTCGCACGCCTCGCAAGGCTCACTTGCTTGTGCAGGACCTTTGCTTCTGCACCTCGAATTGTCGGGACCAATTCTGCAGGGTGGCTACAGAGCCCAAGACTCAGCCTCGGGCATGTGAGAGTACTTGCTGCTGGTGTGTTGGCATTGTGGTGCCCCATGACCAGCACACCGCTTCTACTTCGCTTTTGCATCCATGAGCTCCCGCCAGCCTAACAACAAGCACACCCGATTGATCCCGATTGACTGCGCACGCATGGCCGCACTGAGCATGCCACCAAGAGGCTACAAGAACGCAACAAATATGGGTCCGAAGAGAGCTGGGGCAACTTTGAAGCTGACTCTTGGTGGCCGCACGCCGGAAATTCCTGTCAACTACCCGTATCTCCGAAGGCCTTTCTGGAAACGCCCTTGAAAACGAGATCATCGTTCGCGCTTTTGTGCAGGTTTCTGGGGCGGGGTCGCGCGGTTGTTTTTCCTGGTGTCTCTGTGACGGCAGATCTGCACTCGAACCTCGAAGCATCGTGTGAGACAGATGCCACAACCGTCGAGGAGCTCGCACGCGGTGCTGGCTGCTGCCAACGCGCTTGTTGCTCGAGCAGCTCTGGAAGGCGATGGTCTGAAGCCGGGGGAACGAGATTCCTTTTGTGATGGCACCGTCTTTGCTTCACAATTTGCACATTCACCATAGAGGTTTTCCGGCGCAGCAGAAGTCCAGGTGCCAATTCATTCGCCCAGGGCAGCACATGATCCCAACGCTGCAAAGCCATGCAGCGCCAAATTCAAGCAAAGTGCTCGAAAAGGAGGGGAATCAGTCGCGCGGCAACAGAACGTTGGCAACATGTGTCACGCCGTCGCTTGGTTAGCGCGTAGTCCTAAAACAGTGGTTGCATCGAGTTATTCGAATACTTGGTAGGCCAGGCCAGCTAGGTAAATCAGGCCAAACTAAGTGACCGCCAGATGTGAAGGCATGCAAGTGGACTCAAGCCGTTTGTTGCGGTGTCCATTTCTTAGGTAAGAGCTTTTTGCATGGAGTTGTGCTGACAAAATTGGAGTTTCACCGGCGAAAGCCGCGAAAGGAGCGTGAAACGGCGAGCTTCTAAAGTGAGTCCCAGCCCTTCGCGCAGAGAAAAAGAGTCATTTGCTTCTCAAATGATTCTCAACTACTTCCCAACTGCTTCTCATGATGCTCAAGCAGGGTTGAAAAAGCATTTGCTCGAAAACGGACATGTGTAAGACGGATAAGACGGCCCCGCGAAAGGAAAAAAGCGGGGGCCCGCGAAAGACCACGGAAGGAGGTGTACAACAAGTGCGCGAAAGACCACGGAAAGACCTGTGAGCAACCCCGTGGTAACAAGTTGAACATGTAAACCGAGCTTACAGGTACCAATGGTAGCTCCGCACGATTTGCAGTTTCCAAGTTGAAGTCGTTTCGCAGATGGTATGGACAATCCCATTGATGTACTATGCTGATGTAGCGCATTGCCTGCATCAGCGTGGGGTTCCCGGAGCGTTCAGAATGCAAAACACCAAGTGCACACCAACTCACGCCTGAAACAATCAATACTTGGCAAACGCACAAGCCAAATGGTTTGCTGACACAGGTTGCATCAGGCTGATGCATACAACATGATGACAACATCAGAAGAATGCTAGCGAAAAGGGTAACCAAAAAAAAGCTGTGCTGGCATCATGCTAAAACAAACAGAGGCCTGATCATGTAAGTCCTTGTGCCCAGCACAGTGTGCGAAACAGCCTCGTAGTGGTGCTGATGACAACGACGCTGATGATGACGGTGGCGGTCAAACAAGCACTACAATGCAGGCGGCACCAAGGTGATGGAACAGAACAGTAATGCAGGCAAGTCCAGCGCTCATGAGCAACTTGCACAAGTCTGGTGAGGCATGTTAGGCACAGGACCCTTGCAAGCCGAAAAGGCTGTAACCATCAAAAAGTGGCAGAACTTTGCTGCGTGGGGCGTTGATCATCTCGCAGGTCCTAGAGACCTGTGCAGAAGCAGCCCCTGACAAATTGAGCAGGAAAGTGGGGGCATAGCCTTCATTGTTAAACCACGCAGACACCTAGCAGCTTTGCTTGTGTCTGAGCAAAAGACATCCCGTGGTCGTCGATTTGTCAGTGTTACTCCTCAACCACAAGGTCTCCGTTGTCTGAGCTTCAGGTTGCCGACTTCGCAGCCAGAAGGAAGTGGCAGCAAGGTGCAGGGGGACAGAGGTGTGCTTTGTCTACTGAGCGCGTTATCACTTCACTTTGTTACCTGAGAACTGGTCATGCTTAGCATGTTTGAGGTTTGGATCAGAGTCTCAAGCGCCAGCTGGAGTTTTCAGGCTTCGACCAATACTCTCTTGCGCTCCTCGGGCAAGGCACATTGGGGCACATGGCACTTGATATCCGATATCCAGCTGGCAGATGTTCAAGCGCTGATGGTTTCCAGCGCGGGATTGTTTGAGTTTGAGCTTACAGCTTCTTTCTCCAATAGTTATTGGCGTGTTGTAGTTGGCGCAGTCGCAGGGATTTGCCGGTGAGTGCGGCGCAGCTCGAGCGACATCACCGGCGCCTCGCCCGGAGCTCAGTTCAGGACACGCCGACACGCCGGGAGCCTCCGAGTGGCTTCGCTGTCTGGTCCGCGCGTTTCTTGAGCCAACTTGGTTGGCGCAGGCCCGAGCTCTGGCCGACAAGACTCAGATGCCAAAGGCGGGGACAGAATGCGACATGATGCATGAAAGCACGGAGTTCAAATGAACTTCGTTGCATTGGCCTACTGGGTGCTCGGGGCTAGAGGATGTAAACAACCACGCTGGGGCTGTGCCTGCGAGAGGCTGCCGCCAAAACGTTGGCTTTGTCACGTGTGCCGCCTTGCGCTGAGTACATTCTGAGCACTTGGACGCTGATACGCTGAGCATCTATGATTATGCAAGGCCAAGGTTCCACGAATGCTGCTGCAACCACCCAGGCTAGACCTGTACCATCGGGTGGTTGCCGCTTTAGACGCAAGGCAGGCGGCAGCATTTTGGCAAGGATGTGCGCATCGTCCTGCATTGGCAAGAAGAAAGAGCCCACACGCCACACGCATTCGGTGACGCTAAGCCGCCAAGCATGTTTGAAACTGCTAGTTCCTACGAGTCGAAGCCATGCGCGAGCATAAAGCCAGTCGACGTGGAACACAAGCCAAATTCACAAGCAAGCACGTACAGGTCGTGGTACTTGAGCCAAATTCTCAGTCGACGCTGCACACGAGGATGAATGAAAGTCCCCCTCCCGAGGTGGTGAGACCATTCAGTCGCCATTGGGCCGATACTGCGAACATGCCTGTGGGCAGCGGCCTAGGTCGATGTCTTTGTCTGAGGACCTTCTTGCCCATCTTTGCACTGCATCAAATCTGTGAGCCCCAAGGCACGCCCTGCAGAGGCGTGCAGCGGAGGCGATCGGTCCTGTGCTGAGCCCAGCGCCTCCGCAGCCGTGCGGTCGGGAGGGGTGACAGATGGAAACGACCTGAAACGACTTGAGACACATGATCGGCCCAAGGCTTTGGCTCACAGCAGCGTCACTCACTTCTTGGCTTACCTTGACGAAGACAGTTCTTCAGAAACAATGGCAACAGAGTGAGCACATCTTGGTTCAAGGGATTCATGTGCTGCGACGCAATGCAGGTGGATCCTTCGTCTCTGGCCAGCTTTCTCCAGTTCTTGCAATGCCAACTGCGGCTGGAGGCGAAGGAGAGGCTGGGGGAAGACTTCCACTTGATGGATGAGGACGCGACGAGCTTATGGCCCACATACCAGCGCTGGACAGCGCCAAACATTGGCAAAAAGGACAAGTGGGTGCCATTCCACACCGTATTTTCTTCCCACGAGCTCTTTGTCGTGAAAGACATACATCACAATAACACCTTGCCCTGGACGGAGAAGCAGCGATTCCTGGCCATGTTTATTTTTCGAGCTCATTGCCAGCCCAGGGTCTTTTGTGAAGCCCAGCTGCCCTACCTGCTGAAGGAGAAGTTTTGGGAGAATCCAAAGGACTCCTTTGCCGACAATGGCGCAGTCACCCAGGCCATGCTGAGGTATCGACTAACTACACGACAACCTTTGCAGACGTCAGCCTTCCGCTCGATTCCCGCGAGGCTTTGCCAGAACAATGATGAGAATCTGGTGATCAACTTGGCGCGGAGGACACGTTTGCTGCTCGACATTGCCGAGCAGATCTGGGAGACTCTGCAAGACCCGTCCGTCTCCGGCGCTGCACGTTTCCATCGCTTGTCCAAGACCATCCAAACAGGGCATGGGTTGGGGGAGACTTGGGCGAAGATGTTGATGGTGCCCATCGACATTGCGTACCCGCAGCTGCGGCTGTTGATGGACCAGTGCAACGTGGGGGTGGGCGCACGGCAAGGCCTGCAGCGTCTGCTGCGCTTCTCGCCGTCCCAGTCGGTGCAGGCGCTGGAGGCCGCCACGCGCGCGCTGAACGCGTCCAGCTCCAGCTGCAGCTGCTCGGGCTCGGGTTCTGCGGGTTCTGCGGGTTCTGCGGATCGGTTCTGGGAGCTCCTGGCCACGGTGGAGGCCTCGGCGCGCCGCGCCTTCGCGGAGTACCCGCTGGTGCTGAGCCAAATCGCCACCCCGCGGGGCGGGCTCAGCGCGGCCACGGTGCAGGTGCAGCTCTGCGAGTGGCGACAATTCCTGGACTTCTGCGAGAAAATCCAGCGACTCGAGCTCTCCGTCGAGGCGCAAGCGGCCCCGGCCTTCAGCTTGCGGCACGCCATGATTCTGGACGACGATGGAGATACGGCTGAGACCCTATCCTCCCAGGACACGGTTGCCACAGCCGTCAATGGCGAAAGGGAGTTTTCAGAGTGTCTTGACATTTCAGAAGAGGAGAGCCATTCTGGCACCGCATCTGCACCAGAACTGATACCATCGGAAGGAGAGATACCATTTGCCAAGATATCACCAGAGCCAGACTTCTTGCAAGCTGCTCAAGTGGAACGCCCACGGAAGGTCCGACGTTTGCGCTTGCGGCGATGAGGGACAAAGTAGCCCTCCAGGACCTCAAAGAGGACCAAAGCGGACGAATTGCGCGATGCAACACTGGGCCTAGGGACCTGGTTTCAAGACAGGTCCGACCGGAAGAGTCAGGTCGGTGCCAAATATGTGCGACTCCAGGTCGTGGGTCAGCTGCTCAAGCGGGAGGAGATGCTGACAGTGCAGCTCTCAAGTGCATTGCATAGACTTGTTTTAAGCTGCATGGCCTGGCAAGTTTGAATGCAACTGCGGCATTGGCTCCAGATCCGAATTCTGCCAAATCCTCCCAAGTGGAAGCCTGCGCACACGTGTCGCTCCTTCCGTTAATCACCTTTACATTACGCTTGCAATACCTGCGGCAACAGCGGCGCAGCTGGTTGCGCAATGGCTTCTTGCTCGGGGCCTCCATGACCAAGCAGAAGTTGACCAAGGACGGCAAATCCAGAGTCTGCAATTCATGCTTTGCCCTTTCGCCAGTGTCCCTGCACAATGTCAGGCCCAGAGTTCATGCTGCATTCTTGCTTATTTTTGCGGGGCTCGCCAGGAATTAAACGAGCTCACAAGAACACCTTACTTGGGGATCCCTTTTTCAGGATTTGGCCGCTTGGCCACTCGTACGACCCGCTTGGCTCAAGACTTTTGCCCGCCCATCCACGAGCCCAGCTGAAAACATGCCAGTGCCTTGGCTGCGCTTTTTTTTTGGTCGTGGGCAATCTGATGAGATGTATAGGTATAAAGACCCAATACGCTACTTGTATTTTGGCTCAAGGAAAAGGTGCGCTCCGCAGTGCACCCGAGCCTAAGTAATCAAGTTTTCATGGTAGCGAGTGAGCCTGATCTACCTGAGCGAGCAGGTCGGCGGTCCATCTGGACCGGAAAGATCGGGGACAAGGGCACGGGCAAGAACAAGGGCAAGGACAAGGGCAAGAAGGGCAGGAAAGGCCCACCGGAGCCTCCGTGGAGGAGGTCCAGGAGCGGCAAAGGAAAAGCCGCTAGAGCGGGCGCTGAGCCCGCGGCCCCTGAGCCAGAGGAGCCAGAGGAGCAAAACGAGCCGGAAGAACCAGAGCCTTCCCTGCCGGAAGAGGAGCCCGAGATCCGGGCCCCATCGCCTTCGCCAGCCGCTGCGGTCTCGGAGGCCGATTGGAGCCCAGAAGGGGAGGCTCAGCCGGCGAGTAGCCGGGGGCCGGACGTAAGTCCAGAAAGGGAGGTCGTATATACTGCTGAGGACAAGAAGCAGGATTTCCGGGCTGAGTCGGCTGAGGAGAGCGACTGGGGGCCCTGGCAGTCGGCGCGCAGGGTCGTGCCTCGGGAGCCGAGCTACCCGCCGCCGCAAGGGTCCCAGCGCAAGGAGCTTTTCACCAGGACCCAGAAAGGGTGGAAAGACAATCGGCGGTCGCAGGAGGCCCGCCACTATAGGATCCTCAAAGGCCTCATCAAGCTTGCGAATAAGAAGGGGGAAAAGGTGCCCAGAGAGGTTGAGATTGAGGTTCAGCAGCTCAACAAGAGGAGGAGCACATCCCTAGGAGAGAGGCCCTGGAAGAAGCAGCGCCAGGCTGAGGCAACCTCAGCTGCGCCAAAGCCCCTGTTACGCCACCTAAGGCTGCGGCGCCGAGTTCACCTAAGGGTCTTGGACTCGGACGAAAGTCTGCACCGGCTGGTCCAGCCGAGGTTCTCTCTGAGGTAGAGAGAGCAGCAAAGGCCCTTGGACGAAAGATCACGGTCCATCGGCGGGTCCAAGAATTGGCTGTGGCCCGAGTGAAGCGTGGTGCGGCGACACCTGAGACTGCCCTCGCAAGCAACTATCGACTGCGGAGGGCGGCCGTCTCGGAGACCCTTTTCTTGACGAAGGCAAAGGGGTCGGTTGAGGTACCGATCGCCAAAGCGTGCGACGAGCGGAACACCTCGGCGAGGCCAGCTATCCTGGCCCGGGCGGCTGCTCTGTTTGCGGGAGTAGGGGACTCGGTATTGGGACCCTCGCCAAAGCTCCCGGCGATTTGGAAGAGCCCGCCGCCGAAGGCCAAAGCACCGGCGGTACAGCCGGAGGAGCCCTCCAAGCCAAAGGCAAGCAAGCCTAAGGAGGAGCTGCCAAAGAAAGAGAAGAAGGAGCCGCAGAAGAAAGAGAAGGAGGAGCCACCAAAGAAGGAGAAGGAGGAGCCGCAGAAGAAGAAGGTGAAGAGCGAGCCCAAGGAGGAGACCCGAGTGATCTTGAAGGAGGCCCCGAAGCCACAACCACCACCGCCATCTCCATCTCTGAGTGAGGCCAGCGTGCATTTTCACGACCGGGCTGAGCCTGACTCGGGATCCTGTACGTACTATACAGACGAAGAGGAGTCCAAATCGGACTGACCTCCCGGTGCGTGGCACTGGACTTTGGGAATGGAGGAACAAATCAGAGAGTTGCAGGCAGCAGTAGAGAGGTTGGCACAAGAGAACCAGGTTCTTAGACAGGGCAAGGCTAGTATGGTTACACTGGCCGAGAATGTAGGAAAGTTGGCAAACAGCATGCAGAGGGGAGACCGGAAACTCTTGATAGATACCAAAGGCATTGGTAGACCTGAGGTTTTCCCAAACGAAGATGGCAGTTTCCGGAGATGGGCACGGTCGGTGGTCAACTTAACAACCGCAATCTTTGGGTCGAGTTTCCAACAGATCCTTGAATGGGTTGTTGATCAGGATGAGGAAGTGACCGTAGAAAAGGTAGAGGCAGAGCATGGAGGCGAGCTTGGCAAGGGGGGACTGGACGACAAGGGAGATCAGTTGTTCCGCTTGCTGTCGTCCCTCACCACTCACGAATCCGAGGACTTGGTCATCAACACTAAGAACGGGTTTGAAGCATGGCGAAGATTGAACAGGAGATGGGATCCCCTTACGGTAGGTCGTAAGAGGAACATCTTGCGACCCATACTAAACCCCGAACGTGTTAAAACATGGGATTCAGTGAGACCAGCCATAGAGCAGTTGGACGACCTCATGCGTAGGTATGAAGCCAGAAGAAATGAACAGGGCAACCGGGAGACCCTATCAGAGGATATCAAGTGCACTTCCTTGTAGTTGCTCGTTCCAACTGACATAGAGCGACACCTGATCCTGAACAAAAGCAGATTGACCACTTACCAAGACATGAGGCAAGAGATAGAGGTGCTCATCGAAACGGTTGTTGGAGCCAAGGGCAAAATCCATAGACCCGGGTCCGGCCCGGCATCGGGTTCCGGACAAGGCCCAGCTCCTATGGACGTCGACGCCCTCTCGAAGGTTCTCAACTCTCTGGTCAAAGGAGGCTTGAAAGGAGGCAAAGGCAAGGGAAAGGATAAAGGTGGTAACAAAGGAAAGGTGGGCTATGGTCGCTACGGACCGACGGGGTTTGCAAGGCACAGGATATGTGCGCAAGGAAACAGGCTGGATGACCAATCATCCAGGACTGGCGCAACTGTCGCAAGGAGAATGCAGTAACAAGACAGAAGGGAAGCCTTGGCATAGCATGTCCACCTAATCGGAGGACTCGCGAGGCCAGCAGCGAGATATCCGCCGGCACTGGTGCGGGCGGTGCTGAGAGCCTTGAGGGAGTACCTGGTGGAGAACGGACAGTTGAGTGCACTGGACGCAGCTGTTGCAGGTCCAGTTCCTGAGGAATGCTTCGTGACGCCGGAGGACGTGGAGCAGTACTGGGACGATGTGAATGGTGGATTTCTGCCCCCAGATCGTGTCAGAGAAGCACGCCAACTGGAGCTGGCATATCTTCGGAAGCAAGAGGTTTATGAGAAGGTGCCACTCGAGGAGTGTCTTAGAGATACCAACGGGAGAGGCCCAATAACCACCCGTTGGATAGACACGAACAAGGGAGACCCCACCAACCCGAACTTTCGGTCGAGATTGGTGGTCCGGGAAATTAAGGCCCGGAAGAGACCGGAGGAGAGAATCCCTCAGAACATGCTGTTCTCGTCAACGCCACCTCTGGAGGCGATGAGGCTCTTGTGTAGCCTTTGGGCCACAGAGCGGGTATCTCAGCGAGGACGATCTCTTAAGATCGGACTATGGGATATCTCAAGAGCCCACTTCTATGGTGAGCCGAAGAGGCGCATATACATAGAGTTGCCAGAGGAGGACTCAACTCCAGGAATGGTAGGTCGACTAACCAAGTCAATGTATGGAACCCAGGATGCCCCGAACATATGGCAGCAGCATTACACGCAGCTGTTGGTCAAGGCGGGATACATCAGGGAAAAGTTGAATGGTTCAGTATTCTACCATCCAACACTGGAAGTGAGAGTGCTTGCGCATGGAGACGATTTCATGGTGTTGGGAGGCGCAGACGCGTTGAAGGAGGTAGACGCATTGCTTCGCAGCGCTTACGAGCTGAAATGGCTCGGAACGATTGGAGACGAGGAAGGTGATAGCAAGGAGGTTCACTTTCTCAACAGACTCATTCGTTGTGAACAACATCAAGGTGCAAGCCAGATCGACGGCATGTTGATCTACGTATGCAGCAGCTTGGCATGCAGAATGCCAAGGGAGCAGAGACACCGGACGTGAAGAAGCCCGTAGAGTTGCAGATTCAGGAAGCCAGAAGCCCAGCTTTACCGAAGGACCAGGCTTCGCTGTATCGATCTTGCGTGATGAGGGCCGCATACTTGTCTCACGACAGGTTGGACATCAGTCATGCGGTGAAGAATCTTGCAAGGAAGATGGTCTCGCCGACAGAGGCATCCTTGCAGGATCTTAAGCGACTGTGTCGCTACCTCATCCGGAAGCCGGATGTGTGTCAGGTGTTTGCCAGGCAGGCAAGGCCGAACAAACTCCGGATTCAAGTGGACTCTGATCATGCAGGTGATGCTATGACGAGGAGATCCACTACGGGGATGGTTGCACTATATGGATTGCATGTGCTGAAGCACAGCAGCAATGCGCAGTCAACTATTGCTCTTTCGACCGGCGAGTCAGAGTACTACGCCTTGGTCAAAGGAGGTTCGGTGGGTCTTGGCCTTCAGTTGCTCTTGGAGGACTTTGCGGTGGAGACCCAGGTGCTTATCCAATCAGATGCAACTGCAGCAAAAGGTACGGTGCATCGAGCAGGCCTAGGAAAGGCCCGCCATATCCAGACCAGATTTTTGTGGTTGCAGGAGCGGGTGAGTATGGACCACCTTAAGGTAGAGCATGTCCCTGGAAAGGCCAACAGAGCCGATGCTCTAACAAAGAGCATACCAGGTGTAGAAACCATGAAGAGGTGTGGTTATGTTTTCCTGGATCAGCGCAGTAAGGGACAACTCAAGCTCTTGGGGAGCTAAGGTCCCTGGCCAGACTCCGCTACCGGATTGCTGTGCGAGCGTGTACAGAGCCGCTCTTCCAGCAAGGAGGAGTGATGAGATGTATAGGTATAAAGACCCAATACGCTACTTGTATTTTGGCTCAAGGAAAAGGTGCGCTCCGCAGTGCGCCCGAGCCTAAGTAATCAAGTTTTCACAATCGAAGGGAATCCGACATTTCGGCGGCTACTCATCAGATCCGGCCACTCCGGGCATCTGAGGCGCGGGGCCTCAAAGGTTTCAGGGCCCTCGGGGCGCTGCTCCTCGGCGGCTGCGCCTTCCTGGCGCCGACGCAATGGACGCCGGCGCCGCCCAACGTGCTGGACGTGCAGCTGGCACTGGCGGACATCGACATGTCCACGCCCTACAGGCCGGAAGAACTCACGGGGTTTGGGGGGAGACACCAGGGTTTTATGAACAGGTCAAGGAGTATTGTGTCAAAAGTCTGGAGAACTGCTTGATGCATTGGGGGTTCAGGCCACCAGATGCCGACGAGCCTCCAAGCCCTGCCAACACTATGATTCTGCTGACGGTGGGCTTTGTCTTTGCAGCTTTTATTCTTCCCCTGCTTCTTGCGGGCATACAATCGAAAAACAAAGACATTGCCGGCGCAGACGTGGCCCAGCTGCAATGTCAGGACCTATTCAGCGTTTTCACGTCAAGGGCACCTGCAATGTTGAACACTATCCAGGACACTTCAGAAGTTCTTGTCATCACGCTTCCAAAATCGAGAATCTGCCTGATAGTGCAATTTTGATCCCCCAAAGTCAACTTGGCAGTTGCTTCATGGGCATTCCGCGCGCCAGCAGCGCTGGTGTTTGCATCTAAGGAACGGGGCACGCCACGAAAATGACAGGGAATCGCTTAGAGGGCGTGGCAATTCCGCCACAGCTGTCGCTAGGGTTTGGCTGTGAGAAGCCCGGCAGAGGATTTTAAATGTCGTGGCTTGTCCTCACCCAAAATGGCATTCGAGCCGATGTGACCAACGGGAGGGCGAAAGGCAAGAAATGAGGCTCGACTTGGTGCCAACCGCGCATCTGCAGACTGATTGCAGCCAGTTTTAGGGAGCTTGCACAGATTTGGCGCGTGAAGAATCTGCCTTTTTGTTCATTGTTTGCTCATAGCATAAGCCAGGACCTGATAAAGAACTTGTGCGCTGAGCTACAGCCGCTGGTCGAGAACCACGATGTTTCTGCCTTGAGTGTGGGTACCAGGAAAAGGGCACGCGTGAGTACTTTCCAGTTTCGCGTGTGCACTTAGGAAGGATGAGTATGTGCCCTTTTTGCAGTTGGCTTCGTGACAGGCAATCGAGGATGTTTGTTCTCTCAGGCAGTTGTTTATCAAGCAGATCCTGCTGAGCCGTGTTGAAACACAAGTTGCATTTTTGCGTTTTGGCCGGTTTGACAACCGCAATGGCTCGTTTGTGCAATTTGCAGCGCCAACATTTGAATGCAGCTTGTGTGCAGGATGTCCGTTTGCCTGAGGCGGGAACTTTGATCAAGAAGCTGGTTGGGGAGCATTGGCTGGAAAAGGCAGGACGAGTGACTTAGGTCGCCGACAGGTTCGGTCAGTGGGGCCACAGGTTGACACAAGGTCTGATGCTTTGGCGGTCTTTGGTCTCCATGCAACATCCGGCGAAGGCTAAGTGGCTCATATTGACGCCCTTGGGCGTCGCTCTGTTGCCTGGGTGCCTTGGTGAGGTGGAAGACCTGCGTTATGTTCCGTCTACTCGGCTGGAAGGATGGGGAGTTCCACTGAAGCTGCTCCTTGACTGACGTTGTACCTTGACAGCACTTCCTGCGCGTTCTTCCAGACCAAGGATCGACGAGATCTACGACTTCTTGGCTGAGAATGTGCCATGGCATAGGTTGAGCTCGGCTGCGGCAGTGCTTAAATTGCGGTCTGCTTAGCAGGCCACTTGTGGTGCCATAGTGCGTTGGGCGGGCTTCAGGAAGCGGATGAGGGCGCCCATAGTCTCCAAGCTGCAATCAGCCGAGTGCGCTCACGTGCACTCGCATGTCTCGCTTGACCTTCCTGAGCTATCAACGCCTACGTGCTGTGCGATAGTGTGCCGAGATGTCAACGCCTACGTCAACTACACACTGCGACCAGCCATGCAGAGCTACATGACTCCCTCCATCTCGCACCCTGGCAAGCTGGCAAGCTGGCAAGGGATACAAGATGCAAGGGCACTCTCCCTGGAGCCGGCTTGACCGCGATGCAGGTTCAACAAGCTGCGGGATGATGCGGAGAAGTGCCCAGATTCCGAAAATCAGTGCGGTTTCCTTCCTGCCAGCAACCCCAGGCGCCGGCAGCCGACAGTCTGGGCCGCGAAGCGTCTTCAGCGCTGGTTCCGCCACAGGCCTCTGCGTCAATATGCATCAGGTGCCAGGTGCCAAACCCACCTGGCCCAGGCAGCAGCAGCGCGCAAGGCCTCCACGATCCACCATGGTAGCACATGTTCAACCGACTTGCCTTATGTCAGGAGGCCGGTTATCACTGCCCTTCACTCAGATCTTGTTTTCGCATGTTTTCAAGATGGCACTACATTTCTCATGTTTCGGCAGCAGAGGAGGATCAAGTGCTATCTTGGGTAGAGGACTTCATCAAGAAAGGCCCCCCGGGCCCCCCGCCCAGCCTTTCACCTGCAGGACGACGATTTCTTCAAACCGGATGCGGGGAAATCTCAGGACAGTGACGGAGTATGCGCAGAGTTCCTGGACCAAAAGCGCAGGAGCTCCGTGAGAAGAGAGCCAAGGAGTCCCTCAAGAAGGGTGTTACCAGGCCACGCCTGGAGTGACCTTTCCCGCCCTGCGTGAATCTGCACGAGGTGGCGCCAACGGAAAGCCAGAGAAAAAGCTGAAGGGGTTTCAGGCAAAGATTGAGATGGTTTGAGCAAAGAGTCAACCCAAACAGGGCGGTTGGCCAGGTCTCCAACGACCGCCGCCTGCCGACCCTTTCCTGGCCAAAATTGTGACAACATGTGCCCACCTGAGTTGTTTTGCATGGTCACAGTTGTGCTCACATCACGCGACGATGACCGGGTGGGGGGGGGGGGGCAGGGCGTGACAAAATTAGCCCACATTGTTTTTCAACGCGTGATTCGAGGTGCCAACACGATTCCGGCTTTTCTGGCGCAGCGAGCAGCACGATTCCCGGAAGACATTGGACTGACGTTGCGATTCCAGAATTCGATCGATTCTATCCACCGATGAGGCGACGGAACCAAAAGACTGTGAAGTTTCGCAACTCTTCAAAGAGCCACTCAGCCGCCAAGAGGATGGCATCTCATAGTCGGCAGTTTCAATGGTCAGACAAGAGAAACTGTGCATGTGCATGTGTCATGTGCAGCAGCAACCAGGTTTGCGAAGACGCTGAGTCAAGCGCAGGAGATTCATCAGTTTGAGCATGCAGACAAACATGTTTGGCATGGTTTGAAACCATTGGTAGGCGGGGTATGATTTAATGGTCACAAGCGTGTGAGGAGGATGTGAAACCTTACATCCACAGGCAGGAAGACAACATGGAATTGCAATGGCACAAAAATAACAAACATGTGTTCGCAGGGGGACATTCTGTTCGTTGATGGATGCTGCTGACAAACACGGCTACCGTTGGAGGTTGGTGACCATTAACTGGATTGAGGAGAAGGCGAGCTTGGCACAGAGTGTGTCGGACATTGTCATTGGTGAAAGGAAGATTTGGCGCTGGTGGAAGACCGGCATTGGGAATCCTGGGCCATCCCGGAGAAGTTGGCCAGATGCCCACACGGATACATTTCCGTGAACAAAACTGGAATTGGGGATCGAGCTTTGAAAGTTTGAGAAAGCACACGAAATTAAGATGCCATGCTTGAGGTGGTGCTGGCCAAGATTGAGGCAGTGACACGTCGCACTGGCAAATGTTCGAACAGTCGACAGACGAAACTTCCCAGGCTGGCAAAGCAGGTGTGCGGCTTGGTTTGGCGCGTGCGTGGAAGAACACGGAGCAAGTGTGGATATACATTCGTACAAGGTCCGCCCAAGAAGAACTTCCGCCGCGACTGCCAGTGTATGATTCTGTGATTGCGTTTGCTGACCAAAAACTTTGGTGCGACTGGTGCAGGGTTCATGGCAGCCTTTTCATTTCACATCAATAAACAGACTAAACAGCACAGATGTTGCAGAGCCACGAATTTATTCAAGCCGTTGGATTGATGCAGTTTGAGTCGGTCATGGAAGTCGGAAGTTGTCCATGGCATCAGGTGCTTGACAAGCAGCCGCAGGTCTCCCAAGACGCAAGGCCATTGAATTTGCATCCTTAAAGCACTGCGTGTGGTTGCGTACACATTGGTTTTTGCAACGGAGGCAATTGGCATTGCATTCGGTTTGGTCTAACAGGAGTTCAGGAAGTCACAAAAGGACCAAGACCCAACCAAAATCAATCAAAAAGTCACAGCACGCAATCCTTGTCGGTTACTCGATTCGAAGCGGCAACTCTCGTGCGCAGCAAGACATGATTGCAAGTCCATTTTTGCAATGTTTGGTCAATGTCCACGCTTTGAAACCCCTTGTGTGTGTCTACCAAGAAGTTGACACGGCTTGGCAAGGCAGCTGGCCGTGCCTTTGCCCGATCCACGGACAGCCAAGTTCCTGGGCCGACCAATTGTGCAGTTCCAAACCGTTTCAGTTGAAACGCTGAAAGTGTTGGGAGGTCTTTTGGTTCCAAAGTTGAACCCCAGATGTGTCCAAGGCAGAGTGCTGTGGCCAAAGCCTTGGCTGTCGCGAAGCATGGCAGCCATTCATGGCTGACATCCCCCTTTGAATCTAAAGGTCACATGTCGAAAAAGTGGCCAACATCCCTCCACCATGATGCTGAATCAACTGCATGCACCTGAGAAGAATGATTCTTCCGGCACGAACATGATGCTCATTCTTTCTTTTATTTGCACTGGTCGCAATAGGCATGGACTCCACAGACACAAAGTTCCAAGTGTTGATGTGAACATGGTATGTGTCTTCTGACGCTTGGGAGCGGACATTTCATCAGGCGCTTGCTCACATCTTTGCACATGAGGCATTCTGGCCTAAGCTGCTGACAGATGACGAGATTGCTGGGCCCTTTTCGGGGAACGCCTCGCGTCATCCTCCACTCCTCGGGGCCTTTCGGATAGGCGCAGGTGAAGCTGAGCAGCGAGCGGCCACGGCAAGGCCAGTCGTGTCCTGAGTGAGTAAGGTCCAAGGTCCACGAAGCAAGGTACAGAGCATATTCTACTGAACAGCTGTGTGGGCCTTTTAAGGTGGTCTACGTGCTATTTGCATGCGGATGGCTTGGCTCTTAGCCAAAGGCTTCTGGCATGAGGGGCCAGTTTCACAAAAGACCTTCATCCCACCCACTTTGCTAGGTGTGGCACACACTTTTTTGGCGGAAATCTCGGTGCACACTTTTTGGGCCAACCCGGTGCACTGTGACCCAGGCCCCCATTCTGCAAAAGCTGAAAGACCACGCGGTTGGCGACCCAAGTGCAAGGGGGTTCCTGGTGGCTTCGCTGTTTCCATGTTTTATGCATTTCAAATTGTTTGACAACGATGTTCTGAGGTTCACATGGATCGCCAAAAGGGTTGGAATTGCTTGAAGGGTGCTGATTCGGAAAGGCGTGGTTTTCAGCAACGTTGCAGATTCGGCAAGATTGTGTGTGTGTGTGGGTTTGTGTAGCTCTTCATTGTTTGCGTGAAAGCTTTCGAGTCAGGCTGCGCGTGCGCTGCGCCGCAGCCACAGTCAAAAGTCAGCGATAGTCAGCGTGTCCCGCTCTCCCGCACGCCGATATTCCGAAGGCCGACGCGGCATGTGAGGTAGAACATCACGTAGTGACGTCTGGCGGAGCACTGCCTGCAGGCGCCTTGGGTCAGAGCATCGGCAGAATGACAGCCAAATGCGCCAAGATTTGTCAAAAGGGTCTCGTTCATAGCTGCGGAATCTAAGGATCCGACTCACTTTGACGGAGGCTCAGTATTCACCATTGCCGGCATCTCAACATTTTGGCTGCAGCGTGCATGTGGCATTGCTCCATTGCGTTGTGTTCAGGACGTGATGCTCAACTCGCCAGGCATCGACTTTCAAGGCGGCAATCCATATCCTCAGTGCAGTGACCTTGAAGTGAACGTCAGGTGGTGATTTTTGCACCCTCGAGAGTAGCTAACTCAGGGGTTGGAAGGCTTGGCATGAAACTGGGGGCAGTTTGTGAATCTTGTTTGAGGCAGCGGTGAATTGCAACCCCACAGCTTCGCCCGCGGAGATGCACTAGTTTTCCTCTCGCAGGTAGCTGAGATGGGCTGAGTGTTGCAAGTGTGACCCGACGGGTAGTGACTTCGGCAGTGACTCCGGCAGTGACTCCGGTTCCGGTAGTGCGTAGGACATGTGGTCGGCACTTGGTTGAGAGCTTAGGCACAAGGCACACTGTGTGCAGCCAGTGACGTCGGGGGAGCGGCAGACGCTGGTCATGGAGCTTTGGGAAGGCTCGACTCGGGTTCGACTCGCACACATCGCACACGTTTTGACGAGTCACGCAAACGACAGGGGAGGAGCGCCGCGTGTGTCCTACTTTTGCATTTTGTTGCATTTCGGCACGATTCTGGCGCCAGCCTGAGGCTGCAATCACCGCTGTGAGCAACGCTGGGGTCCATGTGAGGTCGTGGCAGGCAAGATCTCCGGGGTCTCACATGGAACATGCCACACAGATCTGACGTGTTCCGCCTTTGAGATGCAGTGGGTGAAGGGAGTTGCTTTGCAAGCTCACGTTCTGATAGGTGCAGCTCTGCAGGACGGGGGGCCAAGACGACAGACTGCTGGCAATGTTCGATCTCCGAAGAAAGCAACTGTGTTTTGCAATCTGTAGGTTGTGATTTGCAGAAAAAAAACACATGCCGTGTGTGGCAACAAAGGGTGACGTGAGGTGGATCCAGAGCGAATTCGCGAAGAAGGTCCGAGGCTCTTTGACGCTGCCTCAGATGCATGGATGGAGCAATACCGGACTCTCGGGTCAAATGGTTGACGGTGCCAGTCGTATTTACTGCCGAGGCACACACCGCCTTTGAAGGGGTCGCATTCTTCCCTCAGGCAAGCAAGCAAAGTGCTGAGCCAGTTCATAGTCATTTGGTTCCATAGGACGTCATTGTACCATATCGTACCCCAGGACTTGGTTGTTTGAGGATAGGATGGGTAGCCAACTGAGATGTCAGGTTGCTCAGATACTTCGGCAGTCTGCATCCTCGAGCGGCAACGTGGAGGCGTCCAGCTCCGAATGCGCTCAAGTCCGAAGTGCCAGTGAGGTGGTCTTCGAGGGGACGGGCCCAGTGGCCAGTGTCAGGGCCAAGCCGGAACCCCACCACTCGACCCACTCCACCCACTCCACCCACTCGACTCGAGCCGCGAGCTTGAGTTCCCAGGCGTGAGCTTCGCCAGGGCGAAGTCCTGGTCCTCAAGCCCGAGGCACGGAGTCCCACGGAGTCCCACGGAGTCCCACGGAGTCCCACGGAGTCCCACGGAGTCCCACGGAGTCCCACGGAGTCCCACGGAGTCCCACGGAGTCCCACGAAGTGCGAAAGGGAACGGTGTTGTTTTTTTTTTCCCCGTACGTCGCAAGTCGCACACGTGCGTTCCAGGACGATTGCGAAAGCAGCGCGAGTTCGGAGTGAGCAAAAGAGCGTCACGCAGCAGGCGCCTTGGGTCATTTGGGATGGTTCCAGCCTGATTCGTTGATTCCCCGTTTTTCTGGGGGCGAGCCTGGCTTGTGAAAAATCGGGTTGAGATGTCTCGATCTTTGGCTCAAGACACATCAGCCGTCACACGGCGCACGATCCATGGCTTCCACCTCAGAGTCCACCGACTTGCGGTGGGTCCGTGAGTCCTGAGATCGTGGCTCAGGTGCCCAACGCGAGGCGGCGATGTGTGGCCGGGATGCCAATCAGCGCAAGCACCGCTCGAGTCGAGCACCGGTGCGGCCCAGGTGCTGCCAGCGCTGCTGTTCCTAGCCGGTAGCGCCTTCGTGGGATGGCAGGCGAGTCCAAAAGCCATTTCTTGGATCCAAGCATGTCTCATGTCGTATCATGTCGTATGTCTTTGTGTAAGGCCGCTGGCCGATCTTACGGCACCGCCATGGAAGCAGCAAAGGCCAGCGTGCGTTTGCAGCGAGCGCGCTGGGCAAGAGGTGTGTATTTGGATGTTGTATGATGATGTGACATATGTCCAATCTCAAATCTTGGCAATTCGACATGTCCAGGCCAAGAAGCAGAAGCAGAAGATGTCTTTGTCAGAAGCCCTGGAGCGGCAGAAGAAGGAGAAGGAGGTGCGGTCTCCAGCCGCGCGCCGGGGCGCCGAACTTGTCGGACTTTTCAGACGGAGAAGAGCAAGAAGGAAGAGGCCAAACTGGAGGCTGAGGAGATCTTCTGGGAGGGCCCCCCATCCTCCACAGAGGCGGGATATGGCGGGAGGGCCCTTCCTCACTTCACTTCACTTCACTTTGCTGGTTCTTTCGATGAAACCTGACAGATGCTTGCTCCATTCCTGAGTTGCTTCTTGGTCCTCGGGCCGGGAGCTCAAAAGAGATTCGGAAGCGCTGGGGAGTCAGAGTCCAAAAGGATCATCCCCTTCATCGCCGCGGTGAACCGCCAGTTCCGGGTCAAGAGCGCGTCTGAGTGGGGTTTGTTTTGCATCGGAAGTTGCCCGCATTTGGAGCGAGGTATTCGCAGTGATTGCTGTTACCCAGGTACAAGATCACAAGCCAGCGCGTCTCTGTGACAGGTGGCAGTGGCCTCAAATCAATCAGAATTCTTGAAAATGTGAGCGATCCCCGAGCAAGTAGCATTCATAAGGGGCAGGTTGTGCGAATGAAATGTAGGTCTTGATGGAAAGGACATCACAGAATTCTCCTATCAGGACATGGCTTAGCAGGATTTGCCAATACTCTGGCTGGTGGTTTCAAGTTTGTACCTGCGGTCTAGAGTTTCGTTCAGCAAGCCCTGTGTGACCACGAGCTTTGTGTTTCAGTGCGGACAGGAAATCTACGAGATGAAATACGGTTTGCGCTTCTTCGGCTACTGCGCTGACATGAGGACCTGATTGAGAGCCATGCAACGGATGCCCAAAGTGACTGGCAGGGTGAACCTCCGTGATGGTGCGAAAGTGGAGCTTTTCGGACTCCTGAATTTCGAGGTGAGCAGCTGAGAATGCGGGCTATTGCTGAACTGGTTTATTCAAGTGCGGCATGTGCGCTGTTTGCTTGCCCGAGGATAATTACAAGTACATGCTTTCCAGGCCTGGGCCTCAGAAAAGGGCGCAGAATCCGACCAATCAGTTTTTGGCTCCGAGGTGTGGCAAGGATGCTCGCAAGAGAAGTGACCCACCGCCCAGCTAGACTCAACGTGAAATAGAATGAACCTGACACGCGGGGCAAGAGCCGTGCGCTCTAGGCCAAAAGGTCAAGTTCTGTGCCCGCGGAGATGTCTCAAGTCAGTTTGATCCAAATTTTCAGTCAGCTGGCCTTTGCACATTTGAATCCACAAAGCGTGTTCAGAGGTTTCTTGCATAGGCCGAGCTGCGGGATGCGGCATAAGCCGCTTTCGGAAGGGAGCCGATGTTACATGGGGAGATGCTCACAAAGAAGGTGCCACGATTGAACGCACCACTCGTACTGAGCAGCTTCCCACGGGCCGATGTGTCGCAACTCCTGTGTTAGCAAAAACTTAGAGATGCATTGGCAGACAGGAGAATCTGGGGGCTTGCGTATCGTGCATTGTTGTTATTTTCCTCTCCGCATTTTTCGACTTGGCAAGAAAAGGGCCAGAGGCTGCAATGCGGACACAGCGGATGTTCAATGTCAAGCTGGAGATCAGCGGGTTGGTGGACCACGTCCTTCTTTTGTTTGCTCAGTCCTTGCGTGCTGCTGTTTTCAGACAAATGCCACGCATGTCAGCCGTCGAGTCAATCATTTGCAGTCCGCGAAAACGAGATGGCATGGTTTCTAAGCGGAGCAGATTGAATTTTGACTGCATTCATTTTGGCGAGAATTCTGCCGTGCACGTTCCCCAGCTCTCGATGAATGTCCGCGTTTGTGACGCCCCCACCTGCGCCGGCTGCGCCCGCGCCTGCGCCTGCGCCTGCGCCGGCACGGCCAGCGCCGAATCCGGCCCCGCCTGGCTCACGGTCCAAGTCAAAGGGCATTGACACCTTTACCAGGACTCGGCTCGACTCGACTCGCGTTTTGGAGCTTGGAGACGCCAATTGGGGTTTCGCAGTGTCCAGGATTTGGCCTCGCAAGAAACGAAAGCGTGGACGATCGTCTATGCTGAAAGAGTTCGGCCTCCTCAGCAGCTTGGATAGCCATGTTGGCAAGGCGCATCTACCAGCATGTGTCTCCGTGTGCATAAGCATTTGCTGTTTGACTTTCTGGCACGAAGCTGAGGACATGTTGTGGCAAAGGTTCCATCTTGGATAGTCGGCACCTCACAAGACAAGCACAGGCGATTGATCACATTTGTCACATGAGGTGTTTGCCACTTAGTACTTGTGAAGCTGCGGTTGCGACGAGGGCATGTTGCAGCGGCAAGTGGTGATGGTGCTACAAAGTCTGGCCCATTCTTTGGCGTTGCTGCTGGTGTCAGCCGAGCTACTAGGTGGGGTACGGTATCTAGTGCCCGGCTGTCGCAGTTGTATCCGCAGGCTTGGACGTCTTCAAGGGAAGGCCCGTCTGGAAGCCTGGAGGTCTCAAGATGCAAGGAGTTTAGTTGTAGGCGGGTCCTGGCGCGGCCGCTGGGCTCAGCCCGGCGCCTGATGTCCTTGGCCTATGACTGCCACGCGGCAGCATCGACTCGACCGGACTCGACCGGACTGGACCGGCCGCGGAGTTTTGTTGCCAGGCTCCCTCACCGCACTGCATTGGCCACTCTGCTTTGTGCAGCTCGCCGCAAAAAGGCCAGGAAGCAACAGTCTCATTTTGCGGAGCTGAGGTTGCCAGAAGATGCCATGGTGGTTTGGCGCCGGATAGCTCTCCTGCACCTCAGCTGCAAACTTCAAAACTCCAAATACACGAGCATTGAGACCAATTCACATCCACTTCACTTGATAGGATGATTTTATATCTTCAGGCAGTGCAGCCTGGGAGCGGTCCTGCACTTCTCCTCGCTTCGTTGGCAAACTCCATCTTGCGAGTATCGGGTGCCTCCCTTGCTGATCTTGCTGTGCTACTTCTGCGCGCCCTGGACCGGAAAAGACCGGAAAAGACCGTTGCAGGTTCGCACTGGAAATGTGAAAGAGCTGGCGCCAGGATTGGTCTGTGTCGGTTCCTGCTGCGCCTTCGACCTGGAGACCACTTGCTGGGAAGCCTTCAGCTGGACGGGTTGAGAGCAAGGGCTAGGGCTGGGAGAGGGGCAGTATTTGTGCCATGTGCCACTTATGCGCTGCACAAGAGCACAGGACTGCCTGGTGTTGTTGGCATCCACAGCACTGCGCATTGGCCTCTTTGGGCGGTTTGGCAGGCTGGGTCGCTTCAGAATGGTGGATCTTTTGGACGCCATGTAAGGGGATTTGAGTTCAGGGATTGGATCCCGCCCTGGATGCGCAGGCCCCGCATGCCGAAAAGTCAGCAGCCGATGCTCATGCGTGCCGCAGATGCGGCTGTATTGGCAGTCGGGTTCATCCTGCTTGTTCCCGGGCAGCACTGAAACAGGAAAATATTGAAACTGCTTCAGTGGATGCCAGTCAAGACGGTGTGGATAAGCAGGTTTGACTGCAATGCCACGACCCACTATCTGATGGGACTTAGGATATTGGCCTACTGCGCAATGCCTGGATTGAGCGGCGCAAGAACTGGACAGGGGTGTTGCTGATTCAGGCTGTGCCTTGCTTGAGTTCTGGGACAGATGTATGTGTGCCCCGTTGTCCCTAGTGTTGATAGCGTGAATGTTGATTGTTCTAGATGCGCTTGAATATATCCAGGCTGGCACGATTCAAACACCAGATGTAAGGTTGGTGAATTGTTATAATTCACCCAGTGGCTTTGCTGAACTCCCTTGCAAATCAACATGTCAATGTGAGGACACAATTGGATTGGCTCTGTTTGGCATGCTATTGTTGCCCAAAAGTCCAACACCGACGCAATGTGATGATCCACACAAGAGTGCCAGTCAGTGCAAGGACAAGTTGACGGGGTGTGTCCTGATCCTTGTGACCTGTGCGCAGGAAGTACATCTTCTGTGCCGTGCTGATCGCCCTACCCTGGCCGTTCTGGCGCCAGTTGCTGCAAATCTTCCGCGAGGAGAAGCCCAAGAAGGCGGAGAGATGTGATGTGATCCGAGCTTTCGGCTTCCACGCAAGGTGCCCACCAGGAAAGGGCGGCCAACGCGAGAGGACCCGACTTATGCAGCCTGGTTCAAGTCCTATGTGCATGACAGGTGATGACAGGTGTAGAGGCATGCACTGGTGCTGTGAAAGAGGATTGACCATTCTGAGCATTTGTCCTCCAGTCGAAGGCTTCAAAGGCAATGCATGAGACATCTTGGCCCCTTTCTGTCAAAGACATCGCAGTCATGTTCTGGCCTGAGCCAGGAGATTCAGGCCAGCATCTATGGCAAGCTGCGGCCAGGTGTGCCACTCGGAGCAGCTGCTCATCACAAGTTAGAGCTTCGGGATGCTCTGGGTACGCTTGCACAATTGCAAGACGTGTGGCTCAAGTTACAGATAAGACCTTATACAAGCATAGCAGGATATAGAATGGGTTTCTTTTTGCACTGATATCATCCCGCAGGGAAGGCCATGTTGACCTCGCTTGGGAGGGTTGTGGCCAAGGACCTGCCAGCAGACGCAGTCGAGAAGCTGCGAGTGCGACGTGTCGGAGCTGTGGAGGCACGGGGATTGGTGAGCCGGGAGCTCTCAAATTGTAAGTATAATTGGAACTCAAAATCTTAAGCAGTCCAAATGGATGTTTGAACCACACACCTGCTCAAAAATATCCCTGGTTTCTCCTTGCCCGAACGATGCTCTTTCCGCACGGGACTGGCCCGAGTTTCGTCCCGAGGTGACTCAGCTCCGCGAGATGCCGCAAAAAGCGTCCGCCACGGCTTGCATGGTGCATAGTATGAGTTGCATGAGCAATGTGGCGTTATGGAACGGATGTATTGATGGCAAACTTGGATCAAGGTGATGCGACATCTACAAACCCAGCTGGTGATGTCGTAGCCGTATCTTCCCTTCAGATTGCTGCGACAGACATGTAATACTGTGTGTAATTTGTATTCGAAGCGCAGCGTAGAGGCTCAGGTGAGTGACGTCAATGGCAGGCCTTGAGAGACCCAGAGAGAACGAGAAAGAGAGAGAGAGAGAGGTCTGCAACACCGGGCACCTCATGAAATCATGAAGCAATATGAAATTGCAACAGTCCCATCGACAGCATGCAAGCCCCCAATCCACAGAAGGTCAAACTCTATAACTCTATACAGTTTTGCGCTGCCATGTGGCAGCGCTGGGCAGTACTGGCTTTCATCTCAGCGTATGCTGAGCTTGGCGACTGGACGCAGGTTCATTGCAGCAGCGGTCCATCCGCAAGGCGATGGCACACGGCAGTGCTGGATGTGGGCAAGATCTGGGTTTTCGGTGGCAACTGCAGCAAAGACGGCAGCCTGAAGAATGACGTTTGGTACTTCGACACGGTGGGCTGGGAATGGAACTCAGTGGAGTCCATTGGTCTTCGGCCCTCCCCCCGCTTTAGCCACATTTCAGACATTCAGTTCGGCAAGATGTGGGTCTTTGGTGGTGTCGTATCAACTGGCTTGAGCAGCGAGCTGTGGTGCTTTGACACCTCAGCTAGCAACTGGACCTTGGTGGATTCTGGGAGTGGCCCCAGTGCAAGAGAGAGCATGGCCATGGTGATCAGCGGTGGGAAACTGTGGGTGTTTGCTGGCTACGATGGGCGGAAGAGGAATGATCTTTGGTCATTCGACACCTCGCGCGGAACTTGGACCTTGGTGGATGAGGGCAGCGGTCCTTCTGAACGCTGGAGCCCTGCAACTGTGCAGCATGCTGAGCGGATGTGGGTGCTGGGTGGCTGGAGTCAAGCTGGCCTGGAAAAAGATGTCTGGTACTTTGACACCAGAGCTCTGACTTGGACCACTGTGGATGCTGGCGCTGGCATGTCCCCCCGCGAGAGCCATACAGCCGTCCTTCGAGGAAGCAAGATCTGGGTGTTCGGGGGCTTAACGACCACAGGCGAGGCAGGCGAGGCAAATGACGCAGATGCAGTGTGGTGCTTGGATACAGAGGCTGCCAGCTGGACTTTGGCAGACTCTGGGACTGGCCCTCGCAACTTCCTGTATCCCGTTTCTGTTATGGATGAAGCTGGTAGGATGTGGTCTTACTATGGCACCTTCTGGTATTTTGATACGCTGGGTACCTCCACAATCACTGCTTCATCCACGACACGGACAAAGACGTCCACGCAAGCGTCCACAACAAACACGACCTTGACTTCTACTACCACGTCCACCTCGACGTCGACAGCGTTTGCAACCAGAATTAGTTCCTCTTCCACTACGACGCAATCAACCTGGACAACCAGCACAACGTCTTCAATCTCCTCCAGCTCTAGCTCAGCGTCAAAGAGCTCGAGTAGTTCAACATCCGCATTTTCCGCAACACAGACATCGCAAGCCTCATTCACCACAATGTCAACCAGCTCTAGCTCGACGTCAAGCTGGAGCTCGAGCAGTTCGACCTCTACATTTTCCGCAACACAGACACAGGCCACTGGAACCTCATCCACAATGTCAACAAGCGCTAGCTGCTGGAGCTCGAGTTCAACCACTACATCTATCACCAGGACTGCCACTTCAACTTTGACGCAGACAGAAACCACCTCAACCATCACAGAGACGACGTCGACATCCAACATGGGCTTCGCATTTCTGGCGGGAAGGTTAAGCAGTGCAGCGTGGATGAAAGAGAGCATGTCTCCTTTTTGTTTGCTTCAGAAGCAATGCCAATTGACATGTGTTTTTGACTTGTTTAGTGTGGACTTAAAATTTGATGTTGGGCACTGGACAGTGGAGTACTCGGTGCCATGTGCCATGCGCAGAGACAAGTTGCACAAAGATCCAAGGAGAACGCCTCACAGCTGGAGGACCTTCTGATGAGTCACATCGACAGCCTTCTCACGGCCAATGGAAATCGAAATCCCAACTCGACTAACGTGAGCCAAACGAGTGAGGTCCAGCTGCCGGATGGTGCCGTTCTGTCTTTGACCATTCCGCATGAGACTCAGCCTGTGCTGGCAACGACCGCAAACTCCACAGTGTTTGTGCCACGGAGCGTCGCATCGCTAGCTGCGAGGCCGGCCTTGGCTGCTTTGTCCGTGCCAAGCGGCGAGCATCTCGGGGACGACCTCCGGCGCGGGGCCGTGATCGACATGGGAGGTAAGGAGAAATGGAGACTTGCAGGTCCTCTGCTGGAGCTGAGTTTGCTGGACTTGGATTCGAACTCGAAGGTGGACGTGAAGAACCTGTCTGAGCCCATCATCTTCCGCATCGCCTCAGGGTCCTTCTCCGGTGCGAAGTGTGCGTTCCTCACACCCACGCCCACGTGGTCTCAAGAGGGGGTTTATCGCCCAAGCCCGGAAGAACTCCGGGCCATTGGGGACGACACGAGTGGATTTTGGTGTGCCACCACACATCTCACTACGTTCTCCATCCTGGAGCCTGTGGTTTGCTCCTTTTGGGGCAGCTTGAAGCCGGGCGCAGTTTGTTTTGATCCTCCCATCTTCAGCGCCTGTCTGTTGGGCGTGGCGTTCTGCCTCTGCTGCAGCGTCTGGGCTTTTTGTCTCCTGATGAAGTCCAGGAAAGTAATTGGAGGCACCATCAGTCTTCAGGACACACGGGGCTCCGAGCACGAAGTCCCATTTCAGGTCGTGCGGCCTAGGCTGCAAGGAATGCGAGCAGGCTGCAAGACGACCGTGAGCTGGTCCCTGGAGGCAGAGAAGTGGCAGGCCAGGAACCCTTGCTCATTCTCGCGTGACTCGTGTGACTTGTGTCTGAATTGTGTGCTTGAAGTCAAGAACAGGACGAGTGGATTTGTATGAAGCTTTTCGACACGCCCCGCTCAGGATTTGGGCTCGCTGGCATCACCAACGCGGTTCGCAGACCGCGGAACCCGCGTGAGGACGAAGCAAAGTTTCTTCAGGAGCAACAGCGTCTTGAGCTCCACTGGGAGCTCGGCCGGGTATCACCATCCCTCGCCAAGTGAAGCTGAGGGCCTTGAGACTGAGGGCTTTGAGGGTGTAGTGCCGCTCCCGCTTCCGACCATTGCCTCTCCAGTCGCCCGAAAGGAAGCCTCACCCTGTGGGCCGCTGGAGGCGTATGTGGACGGGACCAAAGTCGAGTACTTCTCTGAGACGCATAACAAGTGGGTGCAGGGCTCCATTCAAGGCCCTGGACGGGTTGGCCGCAACGGAATGCCGGTCTACACGGTCGCCTTGGGAAGAGGACGGCCACGCAGCTTCGTGCCGCTTGAGCGATTGCGGCTGCCATTTGAGAAAGCGGAGGCGGTGAGTGTGGAGTTTCAGGGACGGTGGCAAGCAGCGGTGGTGGTGGGAATGCATAGCCTCCCCTTGGCGTATGCCGTCCGTTTGCCCGATGAGACCTTGGTGTTCCCCGCGGAGAAAGTGCGCGTCAGGTACGTCGATGGTGACGCCGTTGATGTGTACCAAGGCCTCGAGCAGGGCTGGGTCACTGCTGTATGTGGATCCGGATCCGAGTCCAGCTGGCCAGAAGTTTCTGTGAAAAGTAGCGATGGGCTATTGAGACACTCGATTTCTTATGTGCGACGTTCAGAATTTGCAGAAGTTTGATTTGGCATGGGCCCACTGCACAGGTAAGTGGCTGTCACGGAGCAGGGTGTGAAACAGTCGTTTGTTTTTGGTCCAGTACGCCGCATCAGCTTGTCACAACGGCATTTTGATGTGAGTGTTCCGCCTTCCTTACATGATCGGCTTGTCCGAACCACTGCAAAGCCAGCAGCGATGTCTTGGAAGCCTTGTACAGAAGAATGATGAATATAATTGCATCAAAGCATCATGGATGTGTCAGAATTCGCTGGAGTTGTGTTTTACAGCGTGAATCTGTTTAATGGTGTTGCATTGCATGATGCAATGTGGAGGTGCTGCATATGTGTTTGCATTGTGTGATGCATTTGCTTGTATGTTATCTTTTGACAAGGGTTCAGCTAGCAAAAGTCGAGCTGATCCAACGCTGCGTGTTACAGGAATTTGCAGGAAGCAGCCAGTTGCACGTTAAATCCCGCCCGTGACAGCTCATGCCAGGACACCGAGAAACACATGTGCGCACGCGTCGAGATTGGCTCACTTGCCAGCCATGGCATGCCACGGTTGCGACATTGCTTGCGTGGCTCCGTGCAGGTCGGAGGCACTTTCAGCATTTGATTGACAAGACTGCTGAAGCTAGTGGTTACCCCGAGACAGAGTCAGACATCCTCCAAAGCATGGGAGAACGGGAAGCGTGGAAGGGAGCCCTGGCACGGCCACCAATGACCAATGGCTACCGCCTAGCGTCCTTTACCCGCTTTTGCGCGTGAGTGGCTGCGTGGGCCGCTCGCGCCTTGCATGACATGGTGGGCTTCGAGCGAGAAAACCTCGCCGTGGAGTTGACGGAGGCCAAAGCAAAGCCGTGAGGTTTGGGCCACTTTGGAACATTTTGGAACGGAGCCCTTCAGTTTGAAACGCGCCTGAGATTGAGATCATGTCATTTTGTCCATATCCCCGCCAGCCACGGGAAGTGCCACAGCGGCGCGGCCTGTGTCAACGGCTGGGCTGCTTCCTTCTCCTCCATTTTGCTGCGCTGCTGTCAGAGATTCTGGCAATCCTGGATTTTATTCTAACGGAGAACTACAGCATGCGCCCCCGGCTGATCAAGTTGCCTTGCGAATGCGTTCCTTTTGCGCCTGTGCGTGTCCAGGATATGCGCCATGACGGCGCCTTTGCTTCTCTCAGGCTCTGGGAGGGGCCGGAATTGAGCAGTTTGCCGTGCAGTTGAGTCGGCCGGGTGAAATGAAAGGCGCAAAAGAGACAGAAACGAGAATGGGCACACGAAGCGGGGCATGGGAGGCATTTGCAACTCGCCAGGCATGGTTTGCACTCACGCCGCATGGCGCGCCGAGCCAGTGCAGCTCCTCTGGTCTTGGGGCCTGCCTTTGCGCAATCAGAGCTTGCTGCTGAAGGACCGACCGGCGCAAAGCAGACAAACTGACAAACACATGAATCTAAAAAGTGCACAAAACGGATGCGGGAAGACACCAGTAACAGATCAACTCGCGCCGTTTGAGTTGAGAGAACTGGTGAGGCAGTGCTGTGGGTGCCGCTGGGCCTCTTGCAGGCGCAAAAAAGGATTTGGTTTCTTGCGCCTCTGTCGGGCTCAGGGTGTCATCGTGCTTCTGGCCTACGACGAGTACCTCGATCGTCAGGAGTGTGCCTTTGGGTTTTTGTCGTCCGGGATGGCCGGGAGGGTTGGGCCGTTGGGGGAGGAGCACCAGCAGGGCCATCCCCAGCAGCGGGAGTCCTTCGCCTGGAACCGCTACCACTGCAAAGCGCCTCGCAGGGAATCTGCCGCGAAGCAGTCGAGTCGCGCGAGAGCCGTCTCAAAGCGAGCGAGCCAAGGCAGTTGCGGCTCTGTGCGAAGGTCTGCCAGCACTGACCGTCATCGTTTGCAGCTGGTGGAGTCTGATGCTTGAGCTGAAACCACGCAAATTGTTCAGGTAAGTCCCAAGAACTCTGCATCTAAGGAACTATCCACCAGAGGATCCATTGATGAGAATGTCCTGGTCATTTGAGAGGCAGTTTCTTGGGATCTTGGGCTCCTTGGCTGGCGGAGTGCGAATCGGCCAGGCAGTTTTCTCCTTGCGATTTGATTCCGAGGCATCGTGCTTTTCATCTCCGCTGGCTCCGGCATGGTGGAGTTGGATTATTGCTGTTCCGGCGCAGTGGCTAGAGAGATGCAGAAATCGCTCAGGCGGGGACAAGTCTTTTCTGGGACTTAGCAGCATGCGGGCACGTCTAATTACCAAGTTGCCAGTGAAGCACAACGGATGTATGGCACATTGCCCCTGAGAAAACCTGAAGCAAAGATGTCTGTGCCAAGTGGGTTCATCTTGAATCCGAGATATGAGTTGCTGCATCTCCTCTTCCGGGTGAGCTGCTGGGCTGAACTTTGGACCGGGGTCCCTCTCCATCTTCTCATGAAAGCGTGCGCTGAAAGCGTGCGCGCAACCCGAGGCGAGGTCTTAACCCGCACCGCCCTGGACTCAGAAACATGTGAGTGGAGTGGAGTGGACGAGACTTCCGGGTCCGGAGGTGATGATGGTGGCCTTTATGGTTACCACACGCCGCTTGGTCTGGTGGTGGTGGTGTCCGGCTGCTTCGAACTTGCTCTTCACCTACATGCTGGCAGGGCTGGGGTCGGGGGGTCAGAGCTGTCAGAGGGGGGTGAAAAGCATGGCCCGCGCGCTGCAAGCAGAAAGTGACCAGGTCTCCCAAAGCCTTGCCACTGGAGCTTTCCGCTTCCGCCTCGCCAAAGAAAAAGGCCAACTGACACGCAAACAGGCTAGGCAAACTAGCTCACTAGCCGCTCACCAAAACACTTCACACTTGCAACATGTCAGAGCGGAGAGCACTTTGAGAGGTGCTATACCACGGAGGGGATGAGGTTCGTTCCACAGTGCGGCTTCTTTGTTGTGTTCCTTGCGCCTGGGCCACTTGCCAAAGTTGGGCCAGAGCTTTGCGCTTTGCGTGGCACTTGAGCACTTGAGCACTGGCACGCCGGGCTGCGTTGGGATGTCTGAGGTGAACCTGTTTTGCTTTGTGGATTCGCCATACAAGCGCCGAGCTGCGCGCAAGATCTCCAGGCCATCCACTGAGCCAATCTCCAAAATCAATCGCAGTGTGTCGCTGTCTTGCACGGAGGTGGCTGGATGTGAAGTTTCTGCTTGAAGTCCTGGTGCTACCTTTGATGGTGTGTGCGGCGGCGGCTGCCAGAGATGGCTGGGATGACCTTCAAAAGAATGTGGCGATGCATTGCGGAATGAGTCTCGGCAGTGTGCAAGATGTTGGCAAAGGTGCGCGACGCAACATGGCCACATCGTGTGACATGTATCATTGCCCTGAGAGTTGAGTTCACCAGGTTTGTCGGCTCCTTGACTCGAATAGTCGCACCGGGCATCACGCAGGCATGTGTGTTGTTTAGCACGTTCGCCAACAAAGGCATGTTCATTTCTTTATTTGTATACTTCTTTCTTTGGCTGTGGATGCAGTGCACAATTCTTTGGCAGAGCCTTGGCGAGATACGAGTGGGCTGGAGGGCATTAAATGCATCGAGCATGCGGTGCTTCTCGCTACGTGTGCAGGATCGACATGATTGATATTTTCACAGCCAGCGAGAAAGGAAACACGCAGGAAGTCAAGGAGAGGCATCATGCTGCATGCTGCATGCCTCATGCTGCATGTGTTGGGTCAGAGAGAGCAAGAGTATCCAGGAAGTGATGGAGAGGCTGGTGGCCGAGGTCAAGGAGTTGACGCGCCGCTTGGCCACGCTTGCCAGGGAACTGTGAGAAGATTCTATGGGCAGATGGCCGGAAATGATGACTTGCGCATAAGTTGCTAGGCTTTGCGGCTTGGCATGAGACCCTCAGGAAGTGCATCGGCCGACATCGACTTGAACAGGCTTTGGCACTTCGAGAAAAAAGCTGGACGCAAGAGCCTTTGCGCTCCTAAGCTCCAGGCCGGATGTGGATGGGAACACGCCCTTGATGCTGGCGGTTCGCGAGGGCCACGCTGAGGCTCGGAATGTCCGTCTGGGCGTCTTGGGCATCCGAAGTGTGCAGGTCTGCAAGTTCCTGGTGGTTGAGGGTGCTCTGGTGGGCATCAAGCGAGGGGCTTGGGCTTGAGAGAATCCGCCAGCTTGTGCCAAGCTGTGTCAAGCTCCGAACTCAAAAGTCTAATCCAAAAGTTCAAAGCTGAGTCAAGCCGAGAGCGCCGGAAAAACCAGAGCCAGGCACTCGGGGAGGCGCAACCTGGCGCGGAACCGCTGCAGCCGGGCCTGCCAATCCAGCTGGACGGCTCTGCACCTGGCGGCCTGGCTCGGCAAGGCCGGGCCATAGGGGCACCTACCGCGTCCGAAAAGTCCGAACAGTCCCAGGTGATGCCCGTGGAGTCCAATTCCAATGGCTGTCAAAACCGTTTTGGGATCCCATTTTGGGGGGTTTTCGGCGCATTCACTACCCATTTTAGGACCCATTTTAGTGCTTGGATTGGTTGATGTTCACTGGTACGATTTGGAGTTTGAGCCATGGCCAAGTTTGTCCACGGACACGAATTCATTCGAGGATCGGATCATTCGCGCGCTGCTGGAGGGTGGCGCTTTGGAAGAGGAGCAGTTTTGGGATTCGCTGAATGTCGCATTGTCGGTTGTTTGAGCTGACACCTGAGTCAAAGGTGTCAAGCGCCTTCAGGAGGGCAAGGACTACGTGGACGAGCACGGGGAGACCCCGCTGCATGTTGCGGCACGCGCTGGACAGTTAGAGGCGAGCTTTGGGCTCGATGGAAAGGCTGACAATAGTCGGACATAGATGATATTATGAGATGTGATGCGTGAGTCCCTATTCTTGATGTGAAACGCATTACAAGCGCATGTGTCCCTGCGCGGCATCCAGTGCTCGGGTTTGCCCATTCAAGATGTCACTAGTTTTTCCACTTGGCCCTCAGATCCAAAGCATGGCTGCATCAAACGCGCTGCTTATCTTGGCCAGTGCTTTCGAGCGGGATACCAGCCAATCGAACAGTGCGGTGGTCTTGCTTTTGATAACATCGATTCTCAGACCCTGAGCCATGCCAAATGCTCATGCGATGCAGCACCATGAGCACAAAACATGTTGTCTGAATCCATGCGGCTAGCAATGAAGGAGCCACGGCCAAGAGAAGTTAAGACGGACGAAGGACACCACGGGATCACCACCCAGCGCAGCATCCTATTTGAGTTTGCGCAAATGTCCGACGGAGCGAGAAGCTCCAAGTACAGCGTACGCATGTAAGTAGAAAAGAGAAAGCACTGCCTGAGCCCTGAGCCATTTGATTTCAGAAACCAAGGGCTTGGACCGCTCAGTATTCATGAGCGAGTATGTCGTCACATGACCACATTGCTGGCGAAAGTCTTGGCTTTAGTGCATCAGCCCAAAGTGACTGTTACCAAACTCGACACCTTCCCGGAGCTGTGTTGCACTCCAAGCAGGGACATGTGCTAAATTGCCGGCATTGGATTCTATGAGTTTTGCTGGGGGTGGGGGGGGGTTTTCCGTGACTCGGCTTTCAACTGGAAAGCCGGTTGCAGTTTCAATCGGCGCTCGGCTCGTGCAGTCGTGCAGGCGGCCCGGCTCCTGGCGCTGGCGTGTCCGCGCTGGACGGCCACCGCGGACTCCAGCGGGAGGAGGCGAGTTGGTTCATGTCCCGATCCGAGGTCACCTGAGAGGTATTCACTGAGAACTCATTTTTCGTGTCTTCACTTTATGCTCACCTCGTATTCACGTGATTCACCGTCTTTGCTGGGAAGAGCTTCATGTGTTCTTTGTTTCTTGTTGTGTCTCCGAAGGCCGGCGGACCTGACGCGCTCGGAGGGGCTGCGCATGTCGCTGGCGCGGTCCTGGGGCAGCTGGGACCCCGAGCACTTCCAGGCGCAGGCCCTGGCGGCCGTGGAGGACGAGTTCGGAGTCGACTCGCACGGCCGGCGAGTCGCCGAACCGTCGGCGTCGGTGTCCAGAAATGGGATTCCCAGGTTTCGCCGTTTTGGGGGAAATTGCCTGTGATGGTTAGAGGTGCAAGTCGTTTGCATGGGCATCTCTTGGGATCCACGCCGTTTTGGCAGGGACGGACTCACGACACGTACGCTTCATTGACACTGGAGGAGCTGGGCGTGCCTTCCGCACACAGCCGCCCGAGCAGTCAGCGGCGTTCTTCCTCTGCAGCTTGGACTAGCTGAGACAGACGTGACGGCAACGTGTGGGCAGAATGTTGCCTCGTTCTTTGCAGAGGTGCATGAAGACTGGTGCTCAGTCCCATTGCATATCTCAAGGCGCGAGCACCCACGGTTGCTTGTTTGGCGCCTTGGACGGCATTGCAGGAAATGCCAGCTGCTGGTGGCGCCTGGCCTATGTCCCTTGGCAAATTCTCGGAGTATGACGTTTTCAGTGAAATGGGTATGGGTCAACATGAAGCCAACAGGGGACCGCAGGTTTTAGTCCATGTGTCCATATACCAGGGTTCCATGTTGGGTACCTGTTTTACCCACAGCCAAATGAAGTATGTGCGCTTCCAATGCGAGGCTCGTATGTTGCCGCCAGTTGTGGCGGAGCCTTGGGCCGCCTGTGCTTGACCAAAGCAGAGGAGGCGCAGAGATGTCTTTCTTTCTCCATGTGTTTCTTGTTCATTGGGCCATGCCGATGCCAACTTGGCCAACTTGGAATGGAGTTCGCGGAGTTCGCCAGGAAGGGAGCCAGGTGTTTGATCAGCCGCTGCGACTAGAGGATTTGGTGCGGATTGACCTCTGGGGCCGGGAGGCGCACGGGACTTCAAGCCATGTGAATTCTGCCTGACAAGTTTGCCATAGTTTGCCCGTACGTTTTTTCGCGGATCAACTTCGGGTGCAAAGAAGGGACAATGTGTTGGGACAATGTGTAAGTTGGGATGGGTCATAGCATCTAGTGCAACACAGGGCAAAGTGACTTGGAGAAGTCGCCTGAGTTTCCCAGAAGATCCCAGAAGCCTCCTGCTTGTTCTTGCAGGTGAGCTGCTTTGGGGAGGCCAACCCATGGCAGAATGCTCCCGCACTTATTGGCGAGGGCCGCTTTGGCGAGGCCCGTGAGTCATGCTTCGGTTGCTTCGGTTGCTTCGGATGCTTCGGATGCTTCGGATGCTTCGGATGCTTCGGATTTGGCAGGTCTTCAGGGCGAAGCACAGACAAACTGGCACGTGGTATGCAGTGAAGGCCGCCCGGCAAAGCCATCGACTGGGAGATGGGCACGAAGCTGAGGTTTTCAAGACGCAGCAGCGACCTGTCGCCCCGGAAGTAGTCCGCGAGTGTGAGGCTAGCGGTTGGGGGTTCTTGACTCACTTCGGGACCTTCAGGAGGTTTGACATGGCTCCGGAATCGGCAAGGCAAGTATCGCGTTGTCGCGCATCAGGTTGGGACACACGTGCGGCAGACCCCCCACCCATGCATCGTCCGCCTCTACATGGTCAATTTTGATGACGCAGGCCGACCTGGCAGAGTTGCGCAAGCGTGTTTCACTTGGCACAGGACTTTACACCTTGGTCATGGAGTTCTGCCCGAGCAACCTCCTGCAGCAAGTCCGCAATGCCAAGCGTCTTCGAGCTGCGAGCACGTACAGGCAGAGAACTGGTCTTGCCAGTTTCTATTTCCTCCTTTTGGGGAATAGAGGGTGGCCTGCGTGGTCGACAATCTGTTTTGCAGGCCGCCAGAGCAGACCGTGGACTGGCTGGGGCAAATCTTTCTGGGCTTGGAGCATATGCACCGCAGGCCAGCAGGAAGGTCACGGTCCGCGGCAACAGCTTGTGTCGCGAGGCTCAATACTCTCTTCAGGGACTTGAAGCCAGCAACTTGACATGCACCTCCATCCCGTTGGCCGGCGCGCATGACTGCCATTGGCAACAGCTTCAAACTCAGGAAAATGTGGTTTTGGACAGCCTGCTTTGCTGCAAGCTGGCCGATTTCGGCGCTGGGCGACTGGGGCCTTCTTCCGGAACATTTTCGTTTGGCCACCCCGCAGGCAGGATTAACTAATTAACGGGGAGTGTCATGTAAGTTGCAAGAGCTGGAGACTTCCTAGGCCAACTTGCTTCTCCTTTCTTGCCGGCCAGGTAGTCCGGGCTACATCGCGCCAGAAGTTCTGGGTCGACAACTTACAAGCGAAATCTCGTTCACCCAACAAAATCTGGCCGATCTCTCAAAAGCAAGCCGTGTAACTGTCAAGGCAGCTTATGCAGGGCCAAAGCATGTTTAGCCAGTTGCAAACACATGAGTTTGTGGATGTTGCATCGACAAGCGCACAAGAAGAAAGCTCCGGCTAGGCGGTATGCCACATGATGAGTGCGCAGATCTATATTCACTCGGAGCTCCTTGGAATTGATTTCGGTCAGAGCCAGGTTGGAGAACGGAGAGGCAGAAACACTGCTTGCCTCCAGGTGCTGACTTGGTTGCTCTTTACTGGCGGCCTACCAAATGAAGTGCCTCCCATGGCCAAGCCGCCACAGTGGCAGGCCGTTGGGAGTTGGGGGAAGAGGGGAGATGGGCTCAACATGCCCAATTGCCTAGGCGCATTGCTACGATTGGTGGATGCTGGCAACCTGTGTGGCCAACAACTTTCCACCCTTTCAAGGCAGGTCGGCTGGTGGGTGGCCCACCGTCAAGGGACGTCCAGTGACCGCAAGGTATGGAAAATGCGACGAATGACCAGGCGGACCAGGCGCAAAGCAGTGTGTCATGCATTGTATGACCAAAAGGCTTGCAGGTCACTCCCTGAATAGCGCCCCAAAGAGGCTCGAAACTTCGTCGACCTGCTGGTGAAGCCTCCGACAACTCGAATGAGGAGACGGGAGCTGCGCAAAATGCAGAGAAACGCTTTGGCTCGAGTTGCGGAGTTGCGGAGTTGCGGGGTGGCCATGGTGGCCATGGTGGCCATGGCGGCCATGGCCTTGCCATGGCCTTGCCAGGCATGGGGACCTGCGCCAACATCCCTTGCTCCTTCCGCCCCTTGGGCTCAACGAGTCCCAGTTCGGTTCGCCAAGCTCAGCGGTTTCCCGAGGCTGAGGCTTCCCAGGTATTCCGCCGGCCCATGCCAGGCTGGGGCTTTCGCACCGGATCGGTCCATCCGTGGGATCCGTCAGGTGGAGGCCTGGCTGCAGGAGCGAGGCTTCGCCAAAAAAGTGGAGAGCCGGCCGTCCTCCAAGTCCTGGAATTCAGGCGGGGAGCTTCAGCGACGGGAAAATCACATTTGTGCGGGTCAGGATGAGCTAAGCGCAAAGTTCCGCTCAATCCAAGTCAGTTCCCGCGCGGAATCTTGTACATAGCACATTAGCTTTCCCTTTGAGACTTGAGTTGACCATTGGGGATGATTGAATAAAGATTGGAATTAACGCAATGAGCCAATGAACGCGACGAATCTTGAACAAATATCATGGGCGTGTCATTTGTTGTCGACCTGGTTTCCCTTTGAAAGGCTCCCGCAAGAGAAGATAGACCTATATAGCCAACAAACGGCAATTAATAAATTATATATTGATTATACATATGTTAATTGTTGATATAGATAAGGAAATAAGATTGTTCTTTTTTTAAATATCATTTTTTCTTTTTACTAAGTTTTAAAGGTTTTTTTATTTATTCTAAATTATATTTAAATACATTTATAATACAATATTTTATTTGTAAATATATTTTATATAATTAATATAATTAACAAAATAATAATAATCACAAATTATTTTAATTATAATAATAGTTTAATTATTATAATATAAAAACAAACACATATAACAAAAATACAAAAATTGTTATATACTATACTAAAATTTATACTAATATATTATAAACTCTATATTATTAACAAATGACACTAGAATGTTCGAACTAAATTTAATATTAATCATAATATAAGAAAAACAAATCGAATAAATTAAGATAAATATATATATATTTTTTTTTTAAAAAAAAAAAAAAAATAATAATAATAATATATTAATTGAAAAAATAAAAATTAATAAGGAGGAAAACATATATATATATATATATATATTTTTCGATAAACATGATTTTAAAATTTATAAAAATAATAATAAAAAATATATAATAAATAAATTGTGTTATGGATAATAATATTAAAATATATAAATGAAAATAATATCTTTTTGTGGGGAATTAATTTCATTAAATAATTATTAATTATTAACTATTAATAATTATTAATAAATTCATTTAAAAAATATATTAAGTCTTGTTTTATATAGAATAATATTATGTTAACTAAAATATAATATATAAAATAAAATGTGCAATTTGTTTTTTACCTTATAATATTTGTATTTTTAAAATATAAATTTCTGGGCTTGCTGGGCTTCCAGCAAAGTCCCAAATCCCAAGACCAAACCAGGGCTTCCAGATGAAATTTGGCTGGCTTGCCAACACATGGTCATCAAAGAATGCCACTTGCAGGGGGGACATTATTTGTTACATAAATGTGTTTTACACCTGCATGATTTGCATGTTTTGGCTTAAACTCATGTAAATCCTGCCAGTATCTGCTTAGTTCATGTACCAATTAATGTCCTGGGATGGATGGATGGATGCAATGGATGGGATGGATTGGATGGATGGGATTGGATGGATGGGATGGAAACCATGTGTGAAAAACCATGTGGAAACCACATGAAAACCATGTGGGGGACATGTGCAAACCATGTGCAAACCATGTGCAAACCATGTGCAAACCATGTGCAAACCATGTGCAAACCATGTGGAAACCACATGAAAACCATGTGGGGAGGCAGTGTCCTGGTGGTCCCAAATCCCAAATCCCAAGACCAAACCAGGGCTTCCAGATGAAATTTGGCTGGCTTGCCAACACATGGTCATCAAAGAATGCCACTTGCAGGGGGGACATTATTTGTTACATAAATGTGTTTGTCACCTGCATGATTTGCATGTTTTTGCTTAAACTCATGTAAATCCTGCCAGTATCTGCTTAGTTCATGTACCAATTAATGTCCTGGGATGGATGGATGGATGCAATGGATGGGATGGATTGGATGGATGGATGGATGGAAACCATGGAAACCATGTGGAAACCACATGAAAACCATGTGGGGCCCATGTGGAAACCACATGAAAACCATGTGGGGGACATGTGCAAACCATGTGCAAACCATGTGCAAACCATTTGGAAACCACATGAAAACCATGTGGGGGACATGTGGAAACCACATGAAAACCATGTGGGGGACATGTGCAAACCATGTGCAAACCAAACCATGTGCAAACCATGTGCAAACCATGTGAAACCACATGAAAACCATGTGGGGAGGCAGTGTCCTGGTGGTCCCAAATCCCAAATCCCAAGACCAAACCAGGGCTTCCAGATGAAATTTGGCTGGCTTGCCAACACATGGTCATCAAAGAATGCCACTTGCAGGGGGGACATTATTTGTTACATAAATGTGTTTGTCACCTGCATGATTTGCATGTTTTTGCTTAAACTCATGTAAATCCTGCCAGTATCTGCTTAGTTCATGTACCAATTAATGTCCTGGGATGGATGGATGGATGCAATGGATGGGATGGATTGGATGGATGGGATGGAAACCATGTGGAAACCACATGAAAACCATGTGGGGCCCATGTGGGAAAACCACATGTGGAAACCACATGAAAACCATGTGGGGGACATGTGCAAACCATGTGCAAACCATGTGCAAACCATTTGGAAACCACATGAAAACCATGTGGGGGACATGTGGAAACCACATGAAAACCATGTGGGGGACATGTGCAAACCATGTGCAAACCAAACCCATGTGCAAACCATGTGCAAACCATGTGGAAATCACATGAAAACCATGTGGGGAGGCAGTGTCCTGGTGGTCCCAAATCCCAAATCCCAAGACCAAACCAGGGCTTCCAGATGAAATTTGGCTGGCTTGCCAACACATGGTCATCAAAGAATGCCACTTGCAGGGGGGACATTATTTGTTACATAAATGTGTTTGTCACCTGCATGATTTGCATGTTTTTGCTTAAACTCATGTAAATCCTGCCAGTATCTGCTTAGTTCATGTACCAATTAATGTCCTGGGATGGATGGATGGATGCAATGGATGGGATGGATTGGATGGATGATGGATGGAAACCATGTGGAAACCACATGAAAACCATGTGGGGGATGTGCAAACCATGTGTGGAAACCACATGAAAACCATGTGGGGGACATGTGGAAACCACATGAAAACCATGTGGGGACATGTGCAAACCATGTGCAAACCATGTGCAAACCATGTGGAAATCACATGAAAACCATGTGGGGAGGCAGTGTCCTGGTGGTCCCAAATCCCAAATCCCAAGACCAAACCAGGGCTTCCAGATGAAATTTGGCTGGCTTGCCAACACATGGTCATCAAAGAATGCCACTTGCAGGGGGGACATTATTTGTTACATAAATGTGTTTGTCACCTGCATGATTTGCATGTTTTTGCTTAAACTCATGTAAATCCTGCCAGTATCTGCTTAGTTCATGTACCAATTAATGTCCTGGGATGGATGGATGGATGCAATGGATGGGATGGATTGGATGGATGGGATGGAAACCATGTGGAAACCACATGAAAACCATGTGGGGCCCATGTGGAAACCACATGAAAACCATGTGGGGGACATGTTGTGCCCATGTGGAAACCACATGAAAACCATGTGGGGCCCATGTGGATGAAACCATGTGGGGGACATGTGCAAACCATGTGCAAACCATGTGCAAACCATTTGGAAACCACATGAAAACCATGTGGGGGACATGTGGAAACCACATGAAAACCATGTGGGGGACATGTGCAAACCATGTGCAAACCAAATGAAAACCATGTGGGGGACATGTGCAAACCATGTGCAAACCATGTGGAAACCACATGAAAACCATGTGGGGAGGCAGTGTCCTGGTGGTCCCAAATCCCAAATCCCAAGACCAAACCAGGGCTTCCAGATGAAATTTGGCTGGCTTGCCAACACATGGTCATCAAAGAATGCCACTTGCAGGGGGGACATTATTTGTTACATAAATGTGTTTGTCACCTGCATGATTTGCATGTTTTTGCTTAAACTCATGTAAATCCTGCCAGTATCTGCTTAGTTCATGTACCAATTAATGTCCTGGGATGGATGGATGGATGCAATGGATGGGATGGATTGGATGGATGGGATGGAAACCATGTGGAAACCACATGAAAACCATGTGGGGCCCATGTGGAAACCACATGAAAACCATGTGGGGGACATGTGCAAACCATGTGCAAACCATGTGCAAACCATTTGGAAACCACATGAAAACCATGTGGGGGACATGTGGAAACCACATGAAAACCATGTGGGGGACATGTGCAAACCATGTGCAAACCATGTGCAAACCATGTGCAAACCATGTGCAAACCATGTGCAAACCATGTGCAAACCATGTGGAAATCACATGAAAACCATGTGGGGAGGCAGTGTCCTGGTGGTCCCAAATCCCAAATCCCAAGACCAAACCAGGGCTTCCAGATGAAATTTGGCTGGCTTGCCAACACATGGTCATCAAAGAATGCCACTTGCAGGGGGGACATGTTTTGTTACATAACTGTGTTTTACACCTGCATGATTCGCATGTTTTTGCTTAAACTCATGTAAATCCTGCCAGTATCTGCTTAGTTCATGTACCAATTAATGTCCTGGGATGGATGGATGGATGCAATGGATGGGATGGATTGGATGGATGGGATGGAAACCATGTGGAAACCACATGAAAACCATGTGGGGCCCATGTGGAAACCACATGAAAACCATGTGGGGGACATGTGCAAACCATGTGCAAACCATGTGCAAACCATTTGGAAACCACATGAAAACCATGTGGGGGACATGTGGAAACCACATGAAAACCATGTGGGGACATGTGCAAACCATGTGCAAACCAAATGAAAACCATGTGGGGGACATGTGCAAACCATGTGCAAACCATGTGGAAACCACATGAAAACCATGTGGGGAGGCAGTGTCCTGGTGGTCCCAAATCCCAAATCCCAAGACCTAACCAGGGCTTCCAGATGAAATTTGGCTGGCTTGCCAACACATGGTCATCAAAGACTGCCACTTGCAGGGGGGACATTATTTGTTACATACTTGTGTTTTACACCTGCATGATTTGCATGTTTTTGCTTAAACTCATGTAAATCCTGCCAGTATCTGCTTAGTTCATGTACCAATTAATGTCCTGGGATGGATGGATGGATGGATGCAATGGATGGGATGGATTGGATGGGATGGAAACCATGTGGAAACCACATGAAAACCATGTGGGGCCCATGTGGAAACCACA